TTGTCCGTTCTGGGCTACTGCAGAAACATGCTGGTTGAACATGGAAGTCCATGGAAGATGACAAACAGCGTCAGTAGATAAAAAAAAAGGTCTCAATCTAAGGTGACAAAAACATGATTCCCTAAATTGAGGTCATTATACATTGATAAAAAAACATGCCTATGTATATTATATTCAATTTCTGCCAGTAGATCCTCCTAAATGTTACACACTGGACATTTAACCCTAAACCATACACAGCAGCATTTAATTCTTAAGTTTATCTCAAGCCTTCACCAAAAAAATGACCAAATATAGCGCTATATGCACGGGTTCACTGCGCAGTGATGCATCAGTGAGGCTTGCATGGCAAAACAGAAATATCCGGCGGACTCAGTGGAACACTCAATCTACAGAGGGTGACAGTTTTCTATGGACTATACACTGACATGCATAGTTGTGTGTGCAGTCACTTGGAGGCTCATGTTTCCGTTGTCAGCAGTACATTCCTCTATAGCAGGGGTTTTCGTAGTCTGAGACTCTGGGCCTCCCCTCAGACAAAGCTTGGAAAAAAGCAAAGTTTACTTGTTTAGTTTCTCTTGGTTCCTGGATGCCTTCAGGATCATGATTATTGTTATTTGTTATTTAATCCCAGAGACATTCAACAGTTGTGCCAAAATAGCCTAATATTGCTGTTTGACATAAGTTCAGACTACACCAAACACATAAGAGGTCTGTTCTAGGGCACTTATTAGTTTCTGACTCTGGGAAAAACAGTCAAATTCCCCCAAACAACTGTATCTCTGAACTATCTCTTTAACCCAATCACACACAGTTAGGCTGTTCTATGTTATCTCCTTTTGATAACTAATCTAATTCTAATGTAATATTTTTTCGCTTCCATTCACTCAGCCTCCCCTGGAACTGTTTTGAACCCCCCCGAGGACCCCCATCTCCCACTTTGAAAACCTCAGCTCTAGAGTGAATCCCAGAACCCCCCCCCCCCAGGTTTCAAGTGCACAGACCCTATTATTAGATTGCATTTTATTTACAGGCAACAAAACAGCACTGGGGACACTAACTACTAAAGGAGCCAAACAGAATTTTAATGAAATGACATTATTAAGAACACAGTTTAAACACACAGAAGACACAAGGCTCTTAGGTTATACTGACAGTGACTGTATGATTATATGTGTGTTCTTCCCCATTCACAATCTGTCCAAAGTGTACTTTATATTTTGATCTTTCTAACCTGAATCTCGATAGTCTCGCTGGGATCCGAGCACTCCCGACTCAGATTCACGGACCGTTTTAAACTTGTCGTGGAAAGAAAAGCACAGGCGGAACTAATGCTATTAACCCTAGCTTTGTTCCAACCATGCAATGCAGCACTCATGTTATTAGTTACACCTGTGTTCTATACAGCCCCCTAGTCATGTGCCTCCCTCCTGCAGTGGGTCTGTGCCACCTTAGTTTGGGAACCACTTCGGGCTACAACTCAACTGACTTCATCACTGATTATTCTGCTTCTTTTTTTTTGTATTAATTGGTTCACGATTCGGTCTATTAAATATCTGAAATTGTAATTTCCCCACAGCCCAAGGGGATGTATTCAAATGTCTTGTTTTAATGCGACCAACAGTCCAAAAGCACAAGTGTGCTATCATATAAGACAAAGAAATCGAGAGCATCTAATCCTCTTGTTTGAAAATCTGGAGCCTTTTTTTCTCCTGGAAAAATTACAACTGATCAATTATCAAAATAGTTGCCATTCATTGTCAGAAAAAGGTCTATTATTGTCCACTTTTTATGCCAAAGAGCAGTAAACTCAGACACACGTGGACTTTTCAGAGGGACTTTCTGTGAACTCCAAGAAGACCAGTAATTACTGACACATCAGCTGATGGGATTCTCATGAAGCAAGTAATCGGCCCGGGGATAGTCTGTCATTTAGAAAACAACACACTTCCATGTTCTGCACTCTGCTGTGTCCTTATGGAAAGTTTTGTTTGACTTTCTACCTGGAAACATGTAATACCTGTTTGTTCCCTGGAAAACCTACAACCACAGAGCATGGCAGCCAATGGGACTGACTTTCTAGAGGAAGTCCAGGATGAACACAGAAACAGCCACAGAGGAAGCATGGTCACAGCATGCCTGAGGGAATCCCCATGTGAGAGGAACGCGGGCCACGCAGCCTCCACAAAACAGCGTTTGTTCTCAGTTACCAAGCCAACTGTTTGCTTCATAAAACGAGCAGCCAAAACCTTCTACTCTACAACAGGAGGAAACACAACAGAACACACATATCACACGTGCCTACAGACACAAACACACACTCCCACCTCTGCTGCGAAGCACAAACTTTATCACATGATTTATTACAGTGTAGATAACCTCTCTGTGTCACACTCCTCAAGATGATCATCATAAGACTAAAACATAGCCCCCAAGGGAACTAGGGTTTATCTCCTATCCAAACTCACCCAGCTCCACTCTCTAAACAAAGATGTATGACTGTTGTGTTTTGAGTCGAAGGAGCAGTTTGTCTTTGGCAAATAATGAGAAAGTGGATGACGGATTTAGGAAAAATAAAACACACACGAACAGGCGAGAGTCACTCTGCATTGACATCACTGGAAGTTTCATGTTAAATGTCACAGCTTTGACATACTGACAGGTAAACAAGTTCCCTCTCTCTCTCTCTCTCTCTCTCTCTCTCTCTCTCTCACACACACCACACACACACACACACACACACACACACATATACAAACACACATGCTGTATCAGCAGGATCCACTGCGCCTAATCCCTCATTATTGCAGTCTGCTCCAAACCACTATCAACCGGCAGCACTGCTGTTCATTCAGAAGGGGAGCACATTAAGAAATCCTTTGCTCTGCACACTCGTCATTAGCAATATGCATCAATCATAAGGACATGCATAAACTGCCTTCTTTTCTGCACAATGTGGCCATCTCCAGCAGGAGAAATAACGAGGCGCACACACACACACACACACTATGCTCCAAGGCAGGGACAGGGAAGCCATGCTGCAGCTGTCCAACTGGCACTGCTCCTCATCCGCCAGCACACAAAAGGAGCCGCACAAGACTGGAAAACCATGTGTTCCTATGGACAATGTCATACTATTCTGTAATGCCGGCAATTTAGGAGAGCAAGGCAACATATGGGAGTTGAATTCGCGACATATATAATAGCTCCATAATAAGTAGCACTGCCAATGTAAAATCGTTCCAGTGCATTCAGAGACATACCAGAGCCTCAGTTAGCTAAGAGATTCCCGTTGGGGTTGACAAGCGCAGTGAATGAAAACTGGAAAAAGAGAAATAAAAGAAAATGTGGGAATGAACCAGAAAGAGCTGTAGTAATGTAGAAAACCGGAATGAAAAAAAAAAAAGCTGTACTCCCCAATGAGGACGGAGGAGAGGGGAGGGGAGGGGAGGGGAGTTAGCGGGCTAACCAGTTAGTTAACGTTACATTATCCCTGTTAGCTAAAATGACCGCCGCCGGTCCACAGACAGCGTTAACGCTCAGCTCACCACAAGGTCCACGGTGCTCCTCACAGCCTCCGACACGCTCTGTCTCACTTCCGCGGCCGTCCCGGGTTTGCTTAACCTCTTTGTGAATTTTCGCACCTCAGACATAGTGCCCCCCTCTCTGGTTAAAATCCACTCCGTGTGTCCCGGTGTGTGAATGTGAGCATGCCGCGGTGCTCGGACGGAGCGGCAGCAGCGCTGTTGTGTGTCAGACAGATGTGGGTTGTGCGTTGTTGGAGGTGAACCAGCCAGCGGTTCGCGTCGCGAGGCGGGGCTGCTGCTGCTGCTGATGAGAGGACGTCAAAGAGGGTTGAACAGCGCGAGAGGCTTCACTCTTGCCTACTTCCGTTTTTTTTCTCAGTGGAGCACACTTTACCAAAGATCGTCTATGTGGCAGGCGTCGACATCACTCTTTACCAAATTATTTTTTATTTTGTACGGTTGTATACAAATTTGTGTTTCACACAATAATTTAATAAAATAAAACTATAATTTCTGCCAGTTATGTTAAACATGAATATGCCAGTGACAATAAACCTGGGGGAGGATGGAGACATTTTTAGGGTCACTTGAAGGAAGTCAGCTCATCTGACAGCTTGAGTAATAAATCATTACTTTGACTCCTATGTTTGTCCTATATGCATTTCGTTTAAGCTTTAAAATGTTTAAATCAAAAAGGTTGTGTTTAATAAATTATCAAATGACATTCCTAAAGTAAAAAAATAAAAATAAAAAGCAAACTAAGGAGTCCACCATATCAAGTAAAAGTATTTAAGTGCAGTGCTCAATCAAAATTTAATGTATACTGCCCCCTTGTGGATTCTACTGCAAACTGCAGGAAAATGGCACTAACCTCAGCAGTTCTCTCAGCTATTTTCCCCAACAAAACTTCTACAAGAAAGCAAGTTTAATGTTAGGGTTTTACCAGAAAACTTTATTTTCATAATATTGATACTATTGGCTGACATATGTGATCAATATGGAAATTCCTCACATAAGTTTATATGAGGAAAAGACTCCCACAGAAAGACAGAACACTGGAGGGCAACATGGACATGACTGATTATTTATATGGCGTGCTGTTTTATTAGGACAAATAGCTATGAGAAGTGTGCCAAGACACACCAAAGGATTATGACACCCATCATATATGAAAGGATGTGGCTTACAGATAATAGCCAATAATTTTGCTAAATAAATAAACGAATCGGTATAATTGTTGGTAGAATTGGTATTATTTGTTTAAGTGGGACCTCTTTATCTAGTTTTAGGATTAGAATGAAGATCTGATCACATTTTAGGTCACATTAATGTAGCAAAACAGAAAACTCTCAGGAGTTCACAAACTTTCTGACAGCACTGCACTTTTCTGGATCTGTCTCCAACCACACACCTGCAGTGAGAAGCTTAGCTTAGGGAAGCATGTTATATGAACATAGGACACTATAACTGACATTCAGATGGCATTTTTTTAGTTTATTTTTTGCACAGTTCATATCACAATATACACAAGTCTCCTCACCCAACTTGAGGTAAGGTGTTAAATGAGAATTCTGATTTTCAGATGAATCACTGCTGCCTCTGCAAACTAGGAAGTCAATTTTAGGGTAACGGTACTTTGCATTGTCAGTAGGAACATAGTGATTCTCACTTCTCTAAGTGGATATAGAAAGCAATCAAAACTTGACCATGAAGTCACGTGTAAGATAGTTAAAGCTTAAACTGTATCTTATTAAAGAGTAATGAATACTAAACATGTCAGGTAGCGACAAAGATAGCAGAAGTGCTCATTGCCATGGTGACGCACTGAACTATTTAAAGAAAACTGAATTTACTGAAGTTAATTAAAAAACAATCTTAAGTTAGGAGCTCTGATGGGAACTTTCAGGTAGCCCACCCCCTACTGTACATGCTACACAGTTCCTGTGTCTCTGTGTCAAGCGTAGCCAGTGTGTCATTGTTAGAGAGGAGGCACTATGAATAGGCAATGTCTGGCAGCAGATCTTCACTTGTCATTGTACTGAGTGAACTCCTTCAGAGCCCAGTTTTTCATTTCTATCTCCTGCCGTAATCTGCAGTACTCTTCAGCCAGGGCCTCGAACTCTTTGCCCAAGATCTCAAAGGAGGCCAGCTTTAACTCGACAGACTGCTTCTCCGCCTGACAGGCCTTCAGCTCAGAGTCCAGCTTCTCTCTGAAATTAGGACAACAAAATGAACAAAGAATTAACAACAAAAGATTGTGAGAGTTATCAGCCAGAATGTAGTTTCTATAAAAGCTTTTCTGAAGGCTCGGATCAGGAATTTACAGTTCTAATTCAAAGAGCCTAATAAATGATAAACACTAGTTAGAAACAGTATGTTTTCTCTCAACTACGAATGTTGCTTTTCAGACAGTCGAGTGCACAATATGAATAATATAAGAATTACATGACAAAAAGGAATTAACAGAGATTAACATAAAGCCTCTTGCCTTATTTTCCTATGAGCAGATAATGAGTCCACTGTGTACGTGTCCAGCTGAATTTCCACCATCTCAGTCCTTTGAGGGAAGAAGAGAAACACATTTGTAAATAAACTGAAATACATGTAAAAAGGATGATCTAAGAATTTGACTTTTGCTCTCCTACCAAGTCTTTCTATAGAAAGGCACCAATAAATAATTGTATGTATACGGTGGTGTGTTCTTTCTACCAGATCATAACCCATGTATTGTGAGTAAAAGAGAAGTATCACCAGATTGCACATAGACAGCCCTAGTTTAAAAAGGTCCAGTGTTCCAGTGTGTATGAGTTTGTGGCATGTAGTTGCTGATTGCAACCCCCTCGCCTCACCCTCCCTGCCCAAGGGTGTAGGAGAAACTACGATGGCACCGAAACTCGTGAAAGGCCCCATCTACAGCCAGCGTTTGGTTTGTCCATTCTGGGCTACTGTAGAAATATGGCAGTTCAAGTTGGCAGACTCCGCTCCTTCTATAGTTAAAAACAGCTCAGTCTAAGGTAACGAAACACACTATTTGTATTCAGGTAATTATACACTAATGAAAACATACCTATGAATATTAGATTCCATTCCTGCTAATAGATGATCTAAATGCTAAACACTGGACCTTTAAGCAGGCATAAAACTGAAAACGTCTTACTTGATCTTCTGTAAGACTAATCCGCATTTTCCCTCCAGGTAGTCTAACTTCTTCCTGTCCAAATCTGTCTGGATCCTCAGCCTGTGGTCCAAGATGAGAGACTGGAGAAGCTGAATACACTTAATCAGCTCCTGGACACAAGTCAATAAGAAGAAAAAAGCAAATTATTGATTTTACAAACTAAAAAGAACACATTAGTGGTTTGTACACTTTATAAGCAACATTTTCCAGTTTAAAAAAAATATTTAAACCAATTTCCAGAGAGTCAATTCTAATAATCATACAGTTACATTATAATATAATGTGACAACCTGCCAAAAACAGAGGAAACGTGTTAGCCTGTTTTTCATTTACAACGTGTCATTGAAAGAGTGCTCACAGAGAGGTAGAGCTGAGTCTGTCTCTGCAGGAGAACTGTGTTTTCCCAGCAGGTCTCCTTCAGACTCTCTGCTCTTTTCTTCTCTTTGTCCAGTAGGGCTGACAGATGAGACAACTTGCTGTTCTTCAGACCCTCACTCTCACTCTCTAGAAGAGATCCCAAAACAACATCCCAGTCATCATTCCATCAATGTAGAACAGTGCAGTGATATAAAGATAGTGAAAGTGAATAGAATTGGTACTGGTGGGAGCAGATAAATCAGTGTCTAGATACTGTACCCCATTCAGGCTGATAGTAAGAGAGGAGGCTCCAACACTTTTTCTTCAGATGTTTCTCCAGCTCTCTGGGAAGTCCCTGTTTCATTCTTTGAACATTCTGGTAAATATAAATACAGCATAAACAAGCCACATTTAAGCATTAATCTGCCATATTTCTGTTGTTACTAAAGTATCCCTCTAATGATCTTTTACAAAAAACTGCAAACAGCTGTGACAACATCCATCGAGCCATCATTTACACAATACAAAATCACACATTAAACACCATAGTACCAAAGCAAACCCTTTTCCTTTAAGCGCGTAGGTGAATGTTCTGTATTGTTATGACTCACCTTCTCTGACGGCATGAGCTCCATCACCCGTTGGGGATTCAGCCCCAGAACAGAGGGCTGGTCCTGGTTGGTAGTGCTACTGGGATCCAGCTGTCTGACACACTGAGACACCAGCAGACACTTCTCCATCGTCTCATAGAACTGCACACACAAATATATGACATGGTAGATTTCTGGATACTGAAGGTCAGATGCTTCAAACTGTGACCTTTAGCTGCTGCTGCAGAGTAAGCTGCCTACTGCATCTTTTAACAATCAAAAATATACATGTTGCCCATGACTCGCTGACAGGTGTGTGTGCTGTTGTGAAATGTACCATGTTCTGGTCAGGGGGTACAGTGGCGTGGTGCTTCCTGATACAGTGCTCCTGGACCATCTCCTGCATCCCTTTGTGGAGGCTCTCGGAGCGCAGCCAGTGACGCCTCTGGCTCTGCAGCTTCTGTTCAGCCTGGAGAAAAGCATGTGTAAGTGCTCACAGACACAACAACAACAACAACAACAACAAACTCTGACCTGTGCAGGACGAGAAAGGTTCCACCTCTGTGTGACTGCAATTCTTACTGGATACCAGTAGAGCTGGGTAAGTTATTGACTACACACTGTTTGGTCTAACTTGAATTTGTATTGCACCATGTCATACTGCATCTTGCACAGAAAGGAGCTTGTATGTTAGCAGATGGTGACACAGTGCCTGCTGATACCTTGTCCAGTTCAGTTTTCAGTGGGACAGTGAGTCCAGTTTGGTCCACATGTTGTGCCAGGGTGGCCAGCAGTTTACAGAACTGAGGGTTCTGGGTCAGATCCTCCTCTGTCATATCACACAGAGGGAAGGAGGCCAGAACTGGACGGGAGGATAGTAAATACAGAGAGTTAAACCTATTGCCAAAGGCCGAACAATTCAGGATAAGAGATTCACAGCAGAACAGCACTCCAACTTTACCTAAATGCGACTATAGCTTCTTTTATCTCTTATTTTTTTCTCTCATTCTGAAATAAATTAGGTTTACAGCCACCATTGAGCAGCAGTTAGTAAACCTGTGTTCTTACCCTGTTGATGTAAGCTGTCAGCCTTCCCAAGCGATGATACATGTGTAGACTCGGGACCAGCCGACATTTTCACCTGAATTGTGTTGCTTATTAACCAAGAAACGAACCACTTCTTTGGACTTCTGAAGACTTTTCTCGCTAACAGGACCGCGACATGTAAATAAAAAGCGTACTTCCTGAATCAAGTTGCGCGCGTCTGCAGAAAGCGTTCCTATTGGCTATGTGACACACGTGGTTACCACACAGAGTTTGTGCCCGCCTTGCTAGAGCTGCGCGCCACCACGGGAGCGCGCACTGCGAAAGCGAAAATTACTAGGCTAAATACATTGGAATGATTTCTGAGGAGGAAAATTACTGTTTAACAGCAATATAATCTTCATTGACCTTAATGATGATAAATGATATGTGGACTAAATTCGAACTAAATGAAAAATCATTCTCTGCAAAATAAGTTAACACAAAAATTACAAAAAAGTAAAAAAAAAAAAAAAAGTTTACTTTGCGGGTTTGGTGATATGACAGAGATGGCAGAGGCCAAGAGAGTAGCTCATGGCTGAACTGGCAAATACAACACAGTGCTCCTGCATATCACACAAGGCAACATGGTAGCCTATACAACACAGTTCATTATCAGACCGCATCTTCCTTCTCCAGTGTGTAACTTAGAGTTAGTAAAGTAGGAACTGGCTAAAAGAAAAGTGCCTTTCACAGTAAAAAAGGAAACGATAATTAATTTACCAGTACGTGCTGCGCTGTGCTGGTTACACTGTTCACCTCCCTGCCTCTCTCAGTTTGTATCTGACTGTAAAACTCTTCTGCTTGAGCTGTGCACTATAGAGGCCGGATTCACGGTCAAAGCCATCTATAACAGGTTTGCTGAGCACTCCAAGTCCTTCCACCAAAAGGACTACAATGAAAGATCTTTCTCTCCCAGAGAGGGCGTCACCTCTGCCATCCAGGATATGGACCATAAAGTGCAGACTGCTGCATTTACCTTCAGCTCAGCACCCCAGATGGGATGTGAAAGAGGGACTTCTGGACTTCTTCATTGGTAAACACAGGTGTTTACCCCACTGCTTCGTGTCAAAATGGCTGCTACGAAAAAGATCTATTTACAACAATAATTCCTCATAACATGGTCAGGTGTTTAAGGAGAATCATAACAATGTTGGTGGTAACACTGTACAAACTACTGGAATAAAGTACAAATGTTAAATTGATGAGTGTTGGTCTTATTTTTGAAGTGTGCTCCCAAGTCAGCCCAAATAGTTGCTTGTTGCTTGTGCTGGGATTGGGTAGTCAAATTCAGAAAATGCCTGTAAGAACAGGGATGGTCACAGTTGAAAAAACATTTCTGTTTTTCATGTTTACACGTGTCCAAATTCTCCCTGTTGCATCTATCAGTGTCTCGATAATAAGCAGCACGGTGTTTATGCCTCTTGATATCTCTACCACCACGAGGGTTTTCTGAAAACTCACCCTGCTGTTCTCATCCCGATGAGCAAATTCAGCCTATTCTGTCTTATAATTTTCATAACCCAAGTACCTGTTCCAAAATACATAAAATAAGGTACTATATTTCCTAAAAACAAACTGGATGTAGGAGATGACTAATGTGGGGATGACTTTGTGATTATGGCTCCTAAGAAAAGAAACATGCTCCCTGAACCCCACCCCTTTGTCTTTTATGTCTCTGCATGGAAAGGTTGTCTTTCATTGCAATTTGATGCTGGTCATCAGTCTCCTTGTCCTCAACATCATTAGATCAGATATTTTCGTGCCCTCGGCTCCGACCGTCAGCCGACACCGTGAAGCTACCCTGCTCTTCTAGAGCTTGTTAAACTTCCAGGAAGAAGAAGAATATTTTGCTTTGATAAAGGTCAATAAAACCTTTTCGTTTTTGCTGTGCCAGATTTGTTTAACTTTTGCTGCAGTGCAGGGGCAACATCCTTCTTCAAGTCTAGACTTTGACTAGCAGGGGGTTAGTGAGATAGTGGGGTGACTAGGGCTCCTAATTAAATTAAGTATCATAATTACTTCTTATTATCAGTACTTGGGAGTTGATTAGATGACATTACATGATAACTTGTCATTTGCTGAGCTCTCAGGCTGCTGTGTCCAAATTAATTTTTATCCTAAACTCTCTGTTATGCATAATATCAACCACTGTGTCAAGACTTTCTACAAGATTGGATTAGATATAAAACAATTAATTGAGCAGGCCTTGTATCTGTCACATTATCTCCTATCCATATTGAATCTGGGGTTCCACAATTGTGAGTTTTCCTGTGCTGTGTGGCTTTCCCCCATGACCTCTAGCCTCTGGTGTGTGGTTCTCACAGCTGTTTTGTCGCAACAGCCCTTGCCCATATCTGGTCTTGTTGGTGCAGCATTCCTGGTGCTTTGTAACTATACCCTTACCTAACTTTGCCCACACTGTTTTATACTTTACTCACAATTCTACCACATTCACGTGCTGCCAGCCACAGTTTAGTGGCTCTAGACAAAATGATCCAAGATGTGCCAAAAAGCATTTAATAAATCCCTGAAAAATCCGGAATAAATAAATAAGGGGGTTTCTAGCATGTGATATAACTTTTGCGTTGCACATAAGTATAGTAACTCCACTATAGTGCTGTTTACACAATGGCTGGTGGTCCTCACTCATCAATGAGTGGGCAAAATTAGATATGGGAGCCAGTCAATTCGAGTGAAATTATAATTGACACGGAATAAAACCAATGGATTGTGTTAGGATGCGACTCTCTGGATTTGATTGGTCACGCGTAAGGACCAACCCTTATTTGCTAAACCAATTAATAAAAGCTATAGTTGATTGCTGATGTCTTTGACCAATCATAGGCCCGGGTTCCCTAATAGGTGGGTCTTTGTCACGGAGGGGTGGGGTGTTCGAGGTCATTCAGTCCCTCTCTGATTCACTCTATCGGCGTGTGTTTGTGGGGACGGGTAGTTGGAGTAAGGAGTCGCCGGGCGGTAGTGCATCTCAAACGCTTTTAGGGAAAGAAACGCCGCTGAAAATTGCACCGCAGACTGAAGAAACGGCCCCCGGTGACGACTTCTGGGAAATTACTCAACGCAACGACTGCGCCACACGCACAACCAACAAACGCAACCAGGCTATCAAATGCTAGCCAGCTAGCATCCCTGAAAACTGACGGGATCAAGGTGTTGATAGCTAGCCTCCCAGCTAATTATCCATCAGCTAGCATCCTCCAGCCGTAGCATCATTAGCTTGCTTTTCCCCCCTCGCGCACGTCGAGACTTTCAGCCATTGCTCGTGGCGGTGCCTTTCAGCTCGCGAGCACCAAATCCCAGATTCAGGCAAAAACAGACAACGGGGCTTCCTAACTCGCTGCTGCTGGAGACGGCGTCTGCGTTGCATTAGTTAGTTGACACCATCACACCCATCTCCCCAACCCCTTTTCCTCTGCCCCTCTCCCTCCACCCGAAACACTGGAAATCCACAAGCGGCCGGAGAGCGGCGAAGGGCCGGCGAAGCTGGGGGTGGTAACGTTACCGGACTCGCCGGGAGTCGTAACGGCTTCAGACAAGCTCAGCCGTGGGGATCTACCGACAATTATGGACGGGCTGGCCGTGGAAGTTCGCGGCTCGAATGGGGCCTTCTACAAGGTAACCTGGTTACAGTCGTAGTTTCTAGCTGTCCCAGTCAAAAGTTTTGTTTCAGGAAAACTGTTCGGTTTTGTTCCTCTGAGCTCGGCCCTTGCTAGCCGTTAGTTGACTAATGTTAGCATAGGACCAGTGCAGACAAACGGGGATGGTTTAGGGCTGGCCATTGTGGGGTGGGTAGCTAGCTCCTGTTAGCTGTTAAGCTAGGTACACTTGTCATCACCATGTCTGGCCTATATTTGTTCGTTTTAGCAAATGTCAATATGAATACATGCCAAACCATGGGGGAAAGATTCCTGTAGTTTTGACAGACATACAGTGTTTCTAATAACACATTGCTTTGTGTCTAAATGTGGGATGCAAGCAGTTTAAAGTGAAGCTTGCTGCTAATCAGGCAGCTGTTTTGCAGTATGATGAGATGCTACATCAAAGCTCACATACTTCATATTTGTTTTTCTGCCCAACCCACGTTCTAGCTGCACTACTGAGCATTGAATCTTGTGTTTATGATTCTGACAAGGAAGAGGTAGAGTGTCGGTTTCTGTTTCAATTCTGTCTCCTTTTCAAAAGAAAGATAACTTTCATATCCAGACACACGACTTAAAGTCTGTCCTGCTGCTGTGTCACAGCTTGTTTTTAACATCTCTGCGACTTAAAATTGAATTTTACACATTCATTTTATTCAAATGCCGCTTAAATATCAATGTTTTTATTAGGCATCTAGATTTAGTCCTTGGTAAACATTGGAGGTTCTGACGTAATTTGGGATTTGAAAGAATTCTAGCTATAAAAAAAACCTGAAGCAGTTAATCCTGAGGAGACACCATGATGGTTGGAGATTGGAAAATAACTCCACTCAAAATCTTCCTCCTCACCCTCACCTCATCCATCTCTTATTTTTATTGCTCTCAGTTTAAACACATTTTTCCCCCAATGTGCTCTTCCTCTCTTTTCTGTCTTCGGGTGTTCAGCATGTGGTCAACCAACCACATGGTGGTTTAGTGAGGAGCCTATATTTACTCTCCTCATGCTGCTTCACCTGTCGTTCTGTTTTACAGGGTGACAGTTTGGCTCTGGCATGAATGAACGCTTTCCACTCATCTCTGTTACGTCCATTATCTCACAGCTCTCATTTTGTGGACGAGATGGACACTTGATTGTGGTAGTGACATTCTAAATGTCGTATTCCTGTAGATTTGTTGTCCTTGATGGGAGAAAATGGGACAAAATACGTTATTGTTTTTTTTTCCTGTTGTGATTGACACAGTGGAAAAAAGTAGTTAGCTTTTTGAATTCACCTCATTCACCTTGGTGTCAGTGTGAGTCAGTTTATTTATTTTTTTCTTTTTAACTATGAATCAGGATCATTTTTATGAACCTGTCAGGGCGATACTGCACCTGTCAGGAAAACTGAGCTTTATCCTGTTAAATCTGAGTCTTTTGCAGCAGCAAGCACATACCAGGAAAGCTGATTTAAAAACCCAATGGAAGATTGAAACAGTTTTTGTATTCTCTTAATTGTGAGTAATGTTCCACGTTAGATTCTTTATTTGTTGGCTAGATATCTTAGTTTTGCTCATTTGATTATTTGAGCATAAACAGTCAATAAATATATCTCAACGCAATGGCTACTTGTGTGGGAAAACTCATTTTCGTGAGAGAGGAAACTAGCTCCACTGGTCCAAAAGGTCTTGGTCACTACATGGACCTGCATTTGGCTGCTGGCCTGAGGGTGAAACCATGCATTACGGAGATGCCCGTGACCCCTCTCTGCCCCCAACTTTACACCAGTCATGCTAGAAAGAGGGCTTGCCCTGGTAGTCCTAAGTGGAAGCAGTGCTCAATCTGACACAACATGCAGCTGTTTCCTGACATGACCTTTAGAAATTGAAGGGTGAGCAGAGCACCTTTTCACTCAGACCTGTTGTCATTGCTAGCTTCTTCTCCAGAAGCTAGCCAGCTCTAGCACCACTGGGACCCTGCAGTGTGAGAGGCAGACGCTGACTGTTCATGTCGATACAGAGGAATGTTTGGGCGACCGGGACCATTTCAGAACAGCAGTAGGTGCAGATTTAGAATCAGTGTTGTAGTCAAGAGTGGACTGCTATACCAAAATACCAAATACCAATTTTGCTCCCGATCCAGGCTGAAACCCTAGCCAGCTCTTGCAGTGCAAAGGCAGCACCTTCCCAGCAGGTGAATCCACTCCCCGATTCCCGACCCCCCCACGCATACTTGCAAGTGAAGATACTGCCTGACTTCTCTGTCCCATATACGGTAGTGTCACACTGAGAGACACGCCCCACCCACGACTTTCTCCCTCCGTCTCGTCATTGCTCAGCGTCGGGGGTGGGGGGTGTTGGTCAAAGTTTAGGGCTGCTGTGACAGATTTGTGGGCTGTCATGATGGACAAGTAACACATTGAAGTGTCTCTCGTAATAGTTGTCTCTGGGCTATAATCTGTCCATATGGGCTAGGCCCGAGTGAGCGCCTGCCTTCCCCCCCATACATGTGCCCTGATGAACATGCCTCTTGTACAACTATACTATTATTACTATTTCCAACTCACTCGCAAAGAGTGTGTGTGTGTGTGTGTGTGTGTGTGTGTGTGTGTGTGTGTGTGTGTGTGTGTGTGTGTGTGTGTGTGAGTGTGAGTGAGAGAAAGATTTCCAGGCTGTCTGTGCTGTCAGGAGGAGTCAGTGTTCCTCGTCACTTTATCCAGCACAGAATTCACAGCCAGAGAATTGTGTCAGCGATGTGATGTCTTGGCTTCCAAAAAGCCCTAGATGCTCTTTCTCAGCAACAGTCACAGTATTGGTCTAGCACGGCTTACAAGCCAGCTGCCTGCGTTGTTTACATGTGAAATCAAACAGTCACAGCCCCACCCCTTGTCTCTGTCTCTGTCTTGTGCATTCATTAGGAATAAAATTCTTTCTCTCTGCTTTTCTTTTAGGGTTACATCAAAGATGTCCACGATGACTCGCTCACAATTGTTTTTGAAAACAAGTAAGTTTGCAAATGAAGCTTGGGTAGTAGTTGAGAGTAACAACTGTTCCAGCCTGGTGCTTTACCCAGACATTCAAAATTGTCCTCTTCAGCACCTGTGCTTGGCATGCAGCTGTCCATACATGTCTCTAACAGTTTTTTACCTCCTGCTCTGACCCCTCCTGCCCTTGCTATCCCGATAGCATGCTTTCCTATACTCCTAGCCCCACCTACTGTCCCTTTCCACGTCCCCCACCCACCCATCCCTCTGGTCCCTCTTTATCTACTTGGCTCAGAGTGCAGAGCCGGGTGGCCCTAAAAATAGTGACCCAAGGTATGCCGATTGGGAGGGGTGACAGTATGGTGCCCTGCGTCGTTTTTCGGGATGCCCCCCCCTCCTCTTCTTCTTTTACTTTCTCTGAGCACATGGAGGTTTTGGAGAAGCTGGTTGTATAAGATAGTGAATGAATAAAACACCTTTTGGCTCTTAGATGAAAATTCCTTTTAAATCTAACATTCAAAATGAGCTTCAGAGTTTTAAAAAAAAGATATCAATACTGAATGAACTTAGAAATGAGCCAGTTTTCATTTTATGTGTCCGGTGTAATAATCTCGCAGTTTCACCTTTGAAACTCATTTATTGAACTTTATAGCACTCTGTTGGGCTTTTTTCAAGTTCTTATTTAATGTAAAAGGACATCATACAGTGAACATAGTCACTCATTATCCAGACACAGTTCCTTGAACTTCCTCATTAAAGTTAATGAGCCATTTTAATTTTAATTTTCATTATGTCTGTTAGTGTACTGCACAGCAGTAAGTGGGTAATACACCAGTGTCATTCGCAATCCCTATATGACATGAATGGAAAAGAGCTTGAGCTAGGCTGCTTGAACTATGTAGCCGTATTGAATTGTGTTACCTGTGATTGTTGATGTTTGTTTTGTGTCTCTGTGTCGTCTCGCCATAGCTGGCAGCCAGAAAGACAGTTGCCCTTCAGCGACGTGCGGTTGCCTCCTCCAGCCGAGTACCACAAGGAAATTGGTGAAGGAGAGGAGGTGGAGGTAAGGCCTGCCACTTTGCGTTGCTCTGACTCCACATTTTCACTAACCTCATGTCTCAAGGTGTCTTTGAACTTCATCAGATGGATTATTACTGGCTAGTATTGAGTGACATTTCCAGGCCATCCACATAGCCTCTAAATTATGAAAAAAATTAAACTATCTACATTTAAAATATTTAAATTACTGTAAAACAGCAAAAACAGCTTTTACCTCACATATTTAGCATCTTTTCCCATATCACACAACACTAGTTAGTTGTACAGTATGCATCCTGTCTGCTCTCCTGAAAGCTAGACAGTGGATTGGTAGGATTCTATTTATGACACAGCATAGGTCTGCTGTTTGCTTGTTGAACATGCAGCCAAGGCCGTTGCATCTTGCTTTCCACTACAAGCATTTCAAAGCACAGTTTATGTGTGTAATAGATGTAGTTTTCTCCGTGACTCAGCTGTCATTCACTGTGTGTCGCCTTACAGGTTTACTCCAGGGCCAACGAACAGGAGCCATGTGGCTGGTGGCTGGCCCGGGTCAGAATGATGAAGGGAGAGGTAAGTGTTTGCTGGGAACCAAGGAATATTATCTATAAGAAAAATGAGATTGAAAAAACTGGTAAGAGATAGAAAAATAGCTGAAACTTTCTTTAGAGTTTGTTTCATTGCAGAAGAGTAACCAGAAACCCCCCCCCACTGAGCATATCCTCTCTGCTTTGTTTTGCCTTAATGGTGTTTTCAGATCCCCTTTCCACCTCTGCATGTCTCCATTGATTCAAACATCATAGTCGCAGGAAATTACAAAGAACAACATGATGCTGTTTTGTAGTCCTGTCATGTGTAAAATACACATTAGACCATGCAAGTTGTTTGTATTTTAATCCGGTCTGATTTGCCTAATCTTCACAGTGCGCTGAAGGAATTGTTATTTCCTGAGTTTTACTTCCTGGAGCTTAAATTTCCTGGAGCTATTTAGTTAAAAAGGACTAATATTATAAAGAAGATGATACCTTGTGTTAGTGATAAGATCCAGCTATGCTAACTTCCTCTGTAACTCAGTATTTAATAATCAGTAATAGAGGCAAAGCAATTATCCTTCACTTTGCCTTGGTGTTGTATTGCCAGCAACTGTTTATTGAGCTCTGGGTGCTGCTGTATGTGGAGTGAATACAGGCCTGTAGTAAGATGACTATTGCTGGGTAGTGAGCTCAAACAGTCAGTATGTCCTGATGCGGTCTGACACTGTATCTTCAAATTATATAGCTCATACACTCTGTGCTTCTTCTTAACACTGACTTGTGTCATAATTCATTTGCACCAAGCTCAGTCTAACAGGCTCAGTTATTTTACGTATTTTATATTTTTATTTTCTGATGATTTCAGCCAGGACTGGCTCTTAGTCACCAGTACAAGCTGCAGGTTGAATAGTGGGTCAGTGGGATATGGAAAGGACAGCTTTGTAGTGCTACTGTGCCGGGGGGAGTTGCTGCTGGTGTAGTGCTGTTATTTGGAGCAGTCTGATAAGAGCCTGCAGGAATGTCTAGCATTGACTGATGGCTTTAATTCTGTCCTTAGAGCATGGAGTGTGCAGTGTTCATCTCACTGCCTCACTCTCCCATGGTTCCTCTTTTTCTTTCTCTACATCTGTTCATCTGTCTCTGCATTTCACTCTGGCACACCTTCTTTGTTTCAGAAACTGGGAAATGCTTGTAGTATAGCTTCATGAATAAAAACATGTGAAGTATAATTTCTTAATTTGAGAGTGGACATCAATGAATTTTTAATTTGACAGCTGACTCAGACTTTTTTTTTATATGGATGGAATATAGCAGTTCTGCTCTGTGTATATCCTGGCATGATTTGTTTGTTTTTCAATTCACATTGGTTATCTGAGCTGTCAGGCTTTTGTGTCTGATATTAATGCCAATTATTAAAAATCTTTATCTCTGTGCTGTTTTCAGTTCTATGTGATTGAATACGCTGCATGCGACGCCACATACAACGAGATTGTCACATCAGAGCGCATCAGGCCCCTCAACCCCAACAGCCCTTCTTCTCGAAACTCTTTCCACAAGGTCCCCATCCCTGTCCCAGAAGACCTGAGAGACATGTGAGTGTCTTTATGTTGTCAATTTTACACCCTGTAGGTAGATATATTTGAATTAGCGGCAGCATTGCACCAAGCTTGGGACCTGGGCATTGGGCAGTGCCAGAGAATTTGCACTAAATGTTGAATTGAGATTGCCTCGGGTATATGAATGGATGCTTTTATATGTCTAAACACCTTTCTTTGAATGTTAAGTTGTCTCATTGAGCAGTGATGTTGTTTGTGGCCCACTGCTGCCAAATGAATAACGAGGCTGACTCTCCTGTGGATTGTTTTCTTATCGACAGCTGTGCAAATGACAACATTCACAAAGACTTCAGGAAAGCTATCGGAGCCAACTGCATCTTCTACAGTGCCCAAACACACGAACTCATTGTGCTGGTTAGTACTCGGAATACACACTTGGTGTCACCTCATGAACGTGCAAATGGCCTCGTTACATATCCACATATGGGGAAATGATACAAATGAGCTGTCATAACTCTCACATAAAAATCTGAAAGGTTTAAAACCAGTGGTTCTCTATAAGGGGTCCCTAGAAATATGGGAAATGTTTTAATTTCACTATTATTTGATTCACTCGGAGTTAGAGTGAGAGAATGTATGAGAATGACTATTCTATTCATAGGTTTCACACTCTCCACTGTTAATCTGCCAATCTACAGTATAGACAGTTATGGAATAACTCAGATCAGGATCCTAAGAGCACATTGTATAAAATATGTGCCTGATGACTGTCAAATGAACTGCATGTTGGAGATTTAATTGGCGTTCCTAGGTTAACGATAGGTGAAGCTTTAAATCCAGTTCATGCCACATATCTTGCTTCCTCCTCCCATCTCTCCTAATTAATTGACAAACACTGACTAAACAACTGTTGATAAATTGCAACTTTATGCCTTTCTTTGTCATCTTCACAGTCTACAAATGAAACCACAGTAAAGCGTGCCACTCTCCTGAGCGACATGCATTTCCGCAGCATCCGTACCAAGCTTATGCTAATGTCCCGCAACGAAGAAGCCACCAAACATTTGGAGGTAAGCTCTTCTGACATCACACATGCACACACCCTGTCAAATACATAAGAGAAATTAGAAGCCCTAGCTAAGCATTTTGGTTTGGTTTACACATTTGCACACCAAAACCGCCTATGTGTTTCCCCTCCCAGACAAGTAAGCAGTTAGCATCAGCATACCAAGAAGAAGTGAAGGTCAGGGAGGACCTGATGGGCCTCGCCATCGGCTCCCACGGTGCCAACATCCAACAGGCAAGGAAGGTGCCTGGGGTCACAGCTATCGAACTGGAAGAGGAAAGCTGCACATTCAGGATCTACGGAGAGGTACACTGCCTAAAGAGCTTGTGTGCCATTGTATGCCTGTCCCAATGTATGGATAGATGTACTGTACTGTAATGTGGTGCAATGTTTGTGTTGTGTTACAGACCCCAGAAGCAGTAAAGCAGGCTAGAGAGTATCTTGAGTTCAAAGAAGACTACTTTCAGGTACCCAGGAACCTTGTAGGTGAGTGAGCTACAGAACATCCCTGAAGGAGCTAATTTTGTTGGCGACAACATCCCACTTTATCACCATAGCATATTCCTTATCACTACACATATGTACTCTCTTATTTTCATTACATTCTTTTAACTTTCTTTATTTCTTCTTTCTCCCATGTGCAGGCAAAGTCATCGGCAAGAGCGGCAAAGTCATCCAGGAGATTGTGGACAAGTCGGGCGTGGTCCGCGTCAGGATTGAGGGAGACAACGACAAAAAACTTCCCCGAGAGGAGGTAGGCAGGCAGGGGGCAGGCAGGGACGACACTGCCAGCGGCAAAGAGGTGAATGGACCGTTCGGCTGGTCTCCCAGTCCCCTATAAACTCAGTCCCCCCTTTCTCCCCCCACCCCTCTGCTCTCCAAAAAGCAAAGCTGCTTAATTGCAGCAGAGCGTAGACATAGCGTGTGCTGTCTGCTCTGACACTGTTCCGTTCGGCTGCTTTGTCTCTCTTGTTTTGTCACTAGCACTTATGTTTTCATCGCTTTCAATACACACAGCCCACCGCACAGCATATGTCAGTTATCTTGGGCATGTGTGGGCACTTATCTGTCCGTTGTCTCTGATGGGTTGATATGTTTCTGTTGATTGTGCTTTATGTGATTTTCTTTTTTTCTTTTTTCTTTTTTCTTTAAGCATACCAATCTTTCCAGAAATAATCTGTAATTCATCACTCAAAATGTTGTTTTTGTGTGTAAGGTCTGAGCTGTTCCCAGTCAGTGATATGTCCCCAACAACGGGGCTCAGTACTTAAGTCATGATTATCTCTTTCCTTAAAAAGTGCACTCATCTCTTTATTTCCCCCTCTCTGTGTTTTATCAGGGCATGGTTCCCTTCGTGTTTGTGGGAACTAAAGAGAACATCAGCAATGCTCAGGCTCTGTTGGAGTACCATGTGTCCTATCTCCAGGTTAGTTGGTCCTCTAATATATTCACCGTTGGCCTTTTTATCTGTTCCTGTCACTCAAAAAACTTCAGATAAATTAGACCTGTGTTCAGCATTTCTGTTTTTACTTTAAATAAGAATCTATAAATGCGCTCAGAATATCCGGACCCTTAGAGGAAATATGTTTCTTAGAAGTACAGGTCCTTTATGTGACATGTTGGGTAGGGCACAGGGGACTGTTTGGAAGGGTGGGCGTATATGCAGGGTCATTTCATATTGGTCACCTGTCTCCCTCCTGCCCAGAACCACATGAGGAAAGCTGCTGAGAGCACCTCATTTTGCCCTTACCTCATGTGCTTTTATAAATAGCTCCTCTCTCTGGGATGGGGTGAAGGGTACGCTGGAGTTTAGATTACCAGCTATCTGGACCCTAAGCTTCCAAAAATAAAGAACCCCCCTCCCTGCCTCACTTCCTTCACACCTCCCTTGAGGTTCAGCTGTCGTTGGTGGAGGCAGCTGTCACACTGTGAAGTGAGACCCCCTTTTCCAAATCAACCACCATAGAAACTGCTGTCATTGCACCGCTGCCATTAGACGGCAATGGCCCCCCCCCAAAAAAAATCTATGAAGATGGCATATGTGGCTTAGCTGAAGACACTGTGATACTCCCAAAAGAAAGAAGTAGTTTTAAAAAACATGTTATTAAGTCATTAAAGTGTCAGCAAACATGATAAATGGATAGCTTTTAACTTTTATCCTAGTTGTAACTTTGTGTTTGTTAGAGTGCTGTGAGTGAGAGGATTGGTTGTCACAGGGGTGTGTGCTGGTCCAGGTGATCTCCAGCAAAGTGTTAGTACGTGGCTCGAGAATTATGGTCATTATTAGTCATTATTATGATCCTTGATCTCTACAAACTAATACTTAAAACTTACCAATTCCTTACAGATGGCAAATTGGTAAGTGTTTCAACAGAAGTGGGTGTTCTGTCAGAATGGTGTTCTGTTCAGGGGTCCTTGTGGGGTTGAATTTGCCCACGGTCTTATGTGCTTGGAACACTGAACTTTACGCATTACTGCCACTTAGTGGTAGAGAGATGGACTTAAGAACAAGCAGAAAACCAGCCCAGACCCACAGCAGATGTTTTAAGACCATGGCTTGGTCCCAGCACAATGCAGCGTGAGTCTGAGTGTGGTATTTTATAGGCTGAACCAACATGTGTCTGTAGTGAAACAATTGCACTGGATGAAAGTGGACCAAATGAGAAGTCTGTGATTGCTGTGTTTAGAAAGCGCTGTAATACTGCAATTGACTTTTTGAAGATTAGAATAAATCTTTTAACTGTGCTTATAATCATGTTATCCCCATATGATTGCATTAAGTCATTGTAATCCTTTTTTTTTTTTTGTCCCTACCATGTGGATCATCTGATTTGGATAGTAGCATGAGTGTTTTGTTTGTAGTTAAACCTGATAATGGCTGTTGGTCAGATGATTTGCATACGATGGTAGCACTTACAACACTTGGCACGTTTTTATTTTGTCGAACTGGAAGTGGCCCAGGTCACCTTGTCATGCTAGATGGCTCTTGGATCTTATGTTTCACTTAATGTTGAGGAAGATACAATATACCCTAGATGGTTATAGCAAAAAAAAATCAGGGTTAATTTTTTCCAAGCATTCTTGGAGTTTTTTGGATTTGTTCACCTGCACTTTTATTTCCCAACCATTTGTGTTTAATAATGGGTGGACTTCAAGGTGTACAGTAGTATAAGGTGCAGGAGAGAAACATTTCAATAAATCATGTGCTTAGGAACCAGTTATGAAGTGCATACTGTCTCCCCTGTCCCTGTCCTGTAGGAAGTGGAGCAGCTGCGCATGGAGCGTCTCCAGATTGACGAGCAGCTCCGTCAGATCGGGGTTGGGTACCGCGCACCTCCTAGTCGAACTGGGGGCCCTGGTGTTGAACGGGAGAAAGGCTACTTGACAGATGACAGCAACAACTCACTCCACACTTCTCGCACCTATGGGGGCCGCGGCAGAGGGCGCAGGGCCTCCAACAGTCAGTACTCTGGATATGGTGAGAATGAAGGAGCTGAAACATCATTTCAGTTTGACACATTTAAGAGTAATATAGACAATAGAAGATAATTCTGTCATTTAGAAAGTTGTATGTTTGTTTTTATTACATATTTTTTACATTATTTCTTGATTCATTATTGCTTGACTCAGGAACAAACTCTGAACTGTCCAATGCTTCTGAGTCGGAGGATCTAAACGAGCGAGACCAGCGGCCCCGTGGCATAGGCAGCGATGAGAGAGGCTCCCGGCGGGGCGGCAGGGGCCGAGGTTCTAACTCAGGACGAGGCCGTGGAGGGCCAGGGTCCAAGCCTTCCAACTCCATCAGCTCAGGTAGTTAAAGCCCAAGTTCAGGTTACCAACAGACATGGGCATATACCCACTTTTAAGATCACTGGCTGTATTGTGTGTGTCAACATTTTGAAAGTTAGAGAAATTCAGCTTAAGTTAATTGTGTGTCTGAAATTTGCATTTTGATCATTGAATTTCAACCTGTAGTCCACTGAGGAAGAAGATTTCAGGTGATCTTACAATAATAAGAACTAGAACCTAGAGTATGGTGCTGTGGATTTTTGCATTTTAGGTGTGTTCCTCCTACATGATGAAGTAAGGAGAGCTCATAAGAGTAAGGATTAGTTGGAGAATGTGTATTGGAAGTTGTTAAAACTAGAGCAAATAAAGAAAAATGGGAGGAGATGCTAATTTTTTGTGGAATATTCAGTTCTGAGGGACCCAGACAGCAACCCATACTCCCTGCTGGAGGGTGAGGGAGAGCTGGCCGACGGAGACATCAGCGAAGGCATGGGAGGAGACCGCCGCAGACGCTCCAGACGCCGCCGCAATGACCAGGAGCCCAGTGTGATGGACGCTGCTGCAGAGTCGGACAGCCAGGCCGGCCCCAGCGAGAACGGACTGGGTGAGAATTTCAGAGCTGTATTCTCATCGCTGTTGCATATCATTTGTAAAAAATCAATTGCTGCCATGACTCAAAGTAGAAATCCACCAACACGTTGTAAATCTGTAAAGTTTGTCGGTGAAAGTAGAAATTCTAAACTAAATTTCATTTATTTTTATTTTGAACCATATTTTCTCATTTGGCTGTTATGTTAGATGAGGAGGCCCGACCTCAGCGCCGCAACCGAAGTCGCCGCCGTCGTAACCGTGGCAACCGCCCCGAGGGAGGTTCCACCAGCCGTGACAGACAGCCAGGTGAAAATGGTGAGTCACCATGTTTTACTAGTTAACATTTTCTTCTTCTGGACAAATAGCCTGTATCAATATAAGTTTTGATCATTTGCTTTTAAACTGCTATCCATGATTGTGTTTGGGGATTGTTTGTGTTTTTATTGCCACAGGCGTGCAGATAGCCTTCGTAAAGGGCGTTTTGAATCTGTATCTACGCTGTATGTACAATGTAGCCCCCAGCTATTCTTCTAGCTAACAGATTTCAATGTTTCCAGTGACTGTTGCTGACTACATATCCCGTGCTGAGTCCCAGAGCAGACAGAACCTTCCCCAGAAGGAAAACCACGCTGGCCCCGAGCCCAAGGTACAGGCACAACACACATTGACCTCTGCATTAGTTTTATTGACATGATAATTTATTGGACCTTTCTCACCTTTTCCTGCTTTTTGTACCCACAGGAGAACGGGACCAGCGCCCAGATTCCTGAGCGAACGCCCTCCAAGCGTTCTCCCAGCAAAGGCATGACCTCGCCCAGCGAGACCCTGACCTTGGTCAATGGGGTCTCGTAAAGAGACGGCCGTGCCCCTCGCGAACCCAAGTCTAGAGCAAGACTCCATGGCAAACTCTGTCCCTGCTTGCATTAACTTAAACCTTAAACTGATGAGTGAAAAGTACCTGACAAAATACCTGAATTCATACTATGAGAGTGAAAAAGTACAAAAAAACGACAAACGCATCTACTTAAAAACACACGTTAACGGTGTATGCTATCCTATCTATCAGTACTTAGTGCTTATTTAAAAAAACAACTAGCTTGCCAAAAAGAGCTGGTGGATATGACTTGATTTTTAAAAATACTGAAATACGAGAAACAGGACGAGACTTCTTTTTTTTTTTTTTTTTTTTTGAAACGGTTGTCTTTATTTGTGTCCTTTCTTTTTTGTTATGTTAATTTTGTTCATTGTTTATCACTGGTTTGGACTTGGCGGTCGCTCTCTCAACCAAAACAGACGCTTCTCTTAACAGTGTTAAAGTACAGACAAGAGAGATGTAAGCTGTAGGGAGTGGAGTACGAGCAGACAGTCCAATAGCTTATGTGACGCGATGTTCGCACACTGTACCTGGGAGTGGAGACAGACAGACAGACGGATTGGAATATTGATAGACATTGTGCCTTGAATTTGAAAAAAAAAAATAATAATAATAAAAAAAAACTTGAGTTTTTCCATTAAGTTTGTTTTTGTTTCCCATGAGGAAGAAAAGATGGCGAGGTGTTCTTCCAGGTTTCTTTTATTTTTTGGTTCCAAGAAGAGAACAGACCTGTGAGGGAGTGATGAGTAAAATGAGTGAAACAGAAAAGGAGGGAGTGGCTGGCCAACGTGAGGAGAAAAAAAAAGTCTGGTGCCAAACACGAAATTCAAGGCGCTTGTCCTCATTCCGAGTAGAATGGACAGCGTCGGGGTCAGTGCGTGCGTGTACGCGCGTATGTGTGTGTTTTGTGTGTGCGCACAGTTGAGACATTTGGCAACCACAAAACTAAACTGGGAGGGGTGAGGTAACAAAATGCAACGCAGCCCTGGGCGGGTCGCACGGTGAGGCATCTATAATTATCGACAGGCCTGGGGGGGGGGGGAGAGATCAGGTGATGTGTCCTCCTCTCACCTGTTTTAGGTCCTTGGAGGGTCCAGGGTGGCACCCATGCAGCCTTCTAAACAGGACAGGCTGAGACCAGACTTGAACTATAGATTTAGACTATAAGAGAACTATACCGTGCCTCTTTCTCTTTGTGTCGGAGGGGGCGGCGGTGCTAGCTTCCAGCCACACTAGTGTCTTGATAAACCACTGCAGCGCGCAGCTCCGGATGCACACGAGGGCGACCACCTTTTCTGGGACTGGGGGGGGGGAGGTGCTGCCAGTGAGGGGAGGGGGGGGGGGAGGGCCTGGAGACTGCGGACTGTGTGGGGGAGTGGGACAGCTTCAAATGACATGAGAGCCACATGACACACAGGCCCACGCTTACAGGTACACACACGCGCACACACACAACAGGCATACACACCAGGCGCGTGTAAGTCGACGTGGTCGCCCGCGTGGCGCAAAGTAAGAGGACCGCAACAGAAAACTGTAAACCAAGTGTCTGTCTTGTACCTGGCAGTTTGGGTTAGCAAATGGAGTAAGAGAGGGACTCAAAACCTCAGTGGCTCTCTGCTCATGTTGTGACTGTTGTCTTGGTTACCGCTCTCAAGTTTTTTTTGTTGCTATTTCCACATCTTAGAAAATATGAAATAAAAAATTGAAGTGAAATCAACCTCTTCTCTGGAGACGAACTTTGATTTCTCTGTCTTGTGAGTTTGCAGTCTATTTTTCTAACTTGCATGGCATTTAGTTAACGAGTAGTAGGTGGTGCCTGTCCTGTGCATGAGGGAAGGGTTATTAATCTGACTTACAAAGCCATTGTTTCATTCACTAGAATTGCTGCTAATGTACACATTGAATGTCCAACTAACGTAGAAACTCTACCTTGAGGAGAGAGAGAAACTATTTGTGACTTTAAAAAGAAAAAGGAAAAAAAAAAAAACATTTCCCCCCCTCCCCGGCTCATCTGCCCAGAACTGTCCCAGTGTCTGTCGGCGGATGCGAGTCAGGAAGGGACCCCGTTCCTCCGCTCACAAGTTTCCGAGTCTCACAAAGTATTAAATTACAAGGGCAACATTGTGCATGACAAGCAAGCGTCCACATGACCAAAGGTTTTGAGAGACAGATGAATGGGAGTGTGGTTGAATCGAGATGACCCAGATGCTGCTCTTATACATTTCTGCTCGCCTGTATGTTGTGTTTTTAAAGGATGAACGAGCACTTGAGTATTTGTACCTTGGTTCAGTCGCATGTGTGCGAGTGGAGGACGAAGCCCTATCTGGTATGTTTGTGTTTACCTTTATACCTCATTGTGTGAGTACTGTATTTCCTTATGTATCTGTACCCCTCGCGTCCTGTTGAAAGACTGCTGGCCGCTGTGTGTGTGTGTGTGTGCGTGTGTGTGTGCGCGCGCGTGTGTGTGTGCGTGTGTTTGTGTGCCTCTGTGTGGATGCTGGTTGTACAGTCGACTCCACTCTGTCAGATTTTGTCTCTGGTTTTCTCACTCATGTTCTGATGGCAATAAAGGACTTTTCATTGTTTGGTATACACTTTTCCTGAACAGTTTGTTCTTTTTTTTTTTTTTTTTTTGAATATCCGCCCAAACTCACACAGCAGCCAGAGAAAGTGTAAAGTGAAGCTTGTATATTCTGTAATGTATCTGTTATACTGCTGAAGCATTTCATAATGACTTGGTTAGGAAAACAACTGCGTCACCAGTGTTAAATTTGTCTCAAGCTATTTTAAGCAATCCTAATTTTGAGTTTATGGACGCATCAGTGAAGTCCAGCTATTCCTGTTATCTTTAGCATTTAGCGGTGCTTTACTCTTGTGTAACCGTTCGAGCTGTGAATAGGCCTCTGCTAAAATCATCTTTTATGGTGTTGAAGACGCATTTCCTTTTATACTTTACTTACTTTACTGTTAAGAGTTGTTGTTTTGTGATGTAATTCTACTTTTGGTATGAATCAAAAGGTACACAGGGACTCAGCAGGTTGCTGTTTCACTGTTTCTGGACCCACAGAGTCACACATGGTGCATCTTGCTCTCTTTAGTGAATGTATCAACCTGTAAATGATGTTAACCCTGAGCACAGGCACATGTACAGCGTCTGTCAGTATTTGCTCCACCTTGGACTCTGTTTCATTTCAGTTCTTTTTTTAACTAGTTCTATTTTTTGACAGAAAACTCTTTTCCAGGCAATAACTAATAAAGGATCATTCTAAATAAACCTGTGAAAAGTTAGTGTAACATGCCAATCAGGCATATGACTCTATATACCCTATATAAAAGGAGGGTGGTGGTAGTAGTAAAGGAGGCCAGCAGGAGGACTGTGAGCTCTGGAGCTCCGGGGCTGCGTGGCTCAGATGAGAACACACTTGTGCTTTCTGGCCATCATATTAAATGCTGTCAGCGCATCATCAGAAAGACGGCATCCTCGTGAAGCACGGTGGGTGCAGCATCCTGCAGAGTGACAGTCCGTGTAATAGGCCCCGAAAAACCCATGAAGGCGGTGGCTACGTGAATGTAACAAAAATACTGGGAAATCTGATGCAGTCTGCAAGAAGCCTGAGAAGATAGTTGACAACTTTTTTTTTTTAAATTAAGTCTTTAGTGTCTTAAGTTGTTTTCATGTATGTTGCCTGGTGACTGGTACTGTATTTGATTCCATCATAGACTAACAGTTTTATAGCTTGGGGATAAAGTTGAGACCCACATTGAGACACATGGTCACTCACTTGCTGTCTAGATGAAAACTGTGGTTCAGTATCATTGATTGAATAATCACAAAAGAGATTACGCATTGTAGAACTGTTGAAGTTACTGGGGAGCAGGCACATAACTAAGTACAAACTCAAAGTACTTGTATTTCACTTGAGTATTTCCAATTTACACAACTTTATACATCTACTTCACTATATCTCAGAGGCACATATTGTACTTTGTACTCCACTACACTTGTCCCACAGCTTCAGTTACTTTTCAAATGACAATTTTTCACACCCTTCCTACCCAGTGAAAAACATCTATCTCCAAATGTAGTGATTTTGAAGGTTTGATACTCCTTTATGGGCTAAGAAAATTCTCATACTTCTTAAGCTAAATAAATGGTTTAAACCCCCTCTTGGATGAGCTGGAAAATGCATTGTCACAAAACTGAAACAGGGTTGTCTGTATTAAGAGAGGTTGACTTTTAGAGATACATGGTTCTCACAGGACTGCTATGCTACAAACACATGATGATCTCATTGAATATGATGCATGGCTGTAGATTAAACCACCCAACAGTATATAAGTAGCTAAAATGAGCTCAACCTTAAATTATCTACAGCAGGAAAATACAACATACACATTGCATGCAGCAGTAATATGAATCCAATAATAATGACAATAGTCGTAATAATAATAATAAAACACTTATTTTACTACACAATGAGTACTTTTGCCTTAAATATTTCAAGTAGTTTGCTGATCATACTTAAGTATTTTTGCTGTGTGGTATTAGTACTTTCACTCAAGTAAAGGATCTGAATACTTCCTCCACTACTGGGAGCTAGAGATTAATTTGAAACTGAAAAATGTTAGTGTGCTGGTTGATAAATAAGTTAGGAGGATGCTGCAGTAAAGGAAACCCCATTAACCCCGTCGCCTCCTGACTTCACTTCTGTGAGCGTGTGTCTCCCTCTACTGGACTGTTGTAGTCACATCCACTGGACTTGCTGGATGCACTGCTAAAAAAGTATTTTTCTTTTACTTTTGCTTTTTGGGATACATCGGAGAGGTTCCAGGAGGAATGGCAAATCCCAGAGGCCCTGTTCCTCCCAGAATGCTGCCACCCAAGTCTCCATACAGCAAGCAGTGTTTGAGGAACGGATAAAGCATGCGTGTTATTTGTAATACTGGGTAAGACAAAAAGACATTCCCATTATATATGCAGGAACATCATCTTTTTGGTTGCTTTCTTGTGTGAGTAATGTTCAATTAACAGCTTTGAAGTTAAAACATCAATGAGAAACCACGAGTCTATGGACTCTATGGGAGAAATAGCCAGGGTGACCAAAGATAAACGTGTGTTTCATAATGCACAAGTAAATAAAATATACATAATAATATATAATATAATGAGTTATTAATACATTATGCATCATCCATCAACAAATACCACTCAGAAATGTTTTTCCCACAAGAAATGATTACTCCAAACTACCAAAATACAACATTGTTTTATGTTTTCTGTCTGCTTCATTCCTGTTTTTAAGTTTTTTTTTTGTTTTGTTTTGTTTTAACATGTGATGACTGAACCCATTTTAAAATCAGTTTATCCCTCCTGGGTATCACTCATCAGGTTGTACACACATAGAGAGAGGACAGTCCTTTAAAGAGGTTCCTACAGCTTTACACTGCTGCTTCCCTTTCTTCTCTCACTGTTAATGACACATAGTGCATATCACACCAGAGCTCTATGGCAACCAATCAAACACTTCACTACAGTCAGAGTGTAAATGCACCTCGTGTGTTCCCGTAGGTTGAGAGGGTCCCCACTCCATTGTCACAACATGCTGTAAACGGAGAAATCCTTTGGATCTCTACAGGTGACAGCAAACTTTTTTTTTTTTTTTTTTAACAGTCGCCATACCACAACACCAACACTGAGGAAAAACCTTTTCCGGGTAAAACTTTCCTTCATACCTTTAACCAATCACAGTCCGTAGTTTTTAAGCAACACGTCTATCCACCAATCAGATTCCTACTTGTGCGCATTTCGCTGTCCGCTCTGTCCACTGTCTGTCTTTTAGTTTCGACTTCGCCGTGGCGCCGTTCAGAGGCTGTAAGTATCAGCGCTGGTGTTCTCCACTCGTTTCTCTTCTTTTCATCGTCAGTGGAGAGTTTACGTGCCTTAAGACGTAACCACATACAGTATGAATGCTGGAAATGAGTTTAATCTGGTTCTGTCACGGGACACAATGGCTAACACCTGCTAGCAGCTAAAGTTAGCCTGCTAACAACAACCCTTCCAGTGAAACGAGCCCGGCTAGCAGCTCACTGACCAGGAAGTGCGAACACGGAAACTTCTTCGACTCTTTTTGTTTTTAAAGTCAGCTGTATTGAAGTCGTGTAGTTTTCAGACTATTGTCACTACTTAAAGTTGAAGTACAAAAGTAAAAACCTGCTGCTTGGTGACAGATTTAGTGACAGTTCAGCCCCGGTGGCCCTCAGCCTGACCGTCGTGTCTATTTCCTGATAATGACGTTATGCATTCACCCCTCGCTCTCTGATTGGTTACTTTCTGTTACTACGTGGTGGCCTGTATCGTCTCATCCTGTCTTTACCCCTTTTTTTTTTTTTTTTTTTTTTTTTTTTTTAGGGAAGAAGAGAGAAGCACACTGGGGCAACGATGGTGAAGATTTTCATTGGGAACCTGTCCCAGCACGCCACCAAGGATGAAGTGGAAGCTCTGTTCACCCAGTACGGCACAGTGACCGAGTGTGCCAAGTATAAAAACTACGCCTTCGTCCACATGGAGGACCGCAAGTCGGCCACCAAAGCCATCCGGGAGCTCCACCTCTATAAACTGAATGGCAGACCCATCAACGTGGAGCCCAGCAGGGGGAAGAACCAGGGCCCTGTGAAGCTCCACATAGCCAACGTAGAAAGGGGCTTCGATAAGGAGCTCCGGGAGCTGTTTGAAGAGTATGGCACGGTCACAGAGTGTTCCATTGTCAAGAACTTTGCCTTTGTGCACATGCTCAACTCTGAGGAGGCCATGGACGCCTTGCAGGGCCTGGACAACTCCGAGTTTCAAGGTAAGTAAGTTTGGTATTCCACTGGGTGAATGGAAGGATTGGAAGGTGTTGGGGTGTCCATACTGTTTGTGTTTTAGCCTTTTAGATTTGAGGGACAATGTTTTTCTCTCTCTCAGGAAAGCGCATACATGTTCAGGTATCAAAAAGCAGACCCAGAGGGGCACCAGAGGAGGAGGAGGACTATCCACCTCCGCCAGGCAGAGGAGGCTTTTATCCTCCTCGCTACCCAATGGAGAGGCCCGAGCCTCCCTACAGGGGCCGCATGCCTGCTTACCCTCCTCCGCCCCCTCCTCCCCCGAGACGAGCGGCTTATCCTGACCGTGGTTATGGCGAGCGAGACGGCTATGGGGTGGTCGATTACTATGAGAAATTCAGAGCCCGTCCTTACAGCGCGGCAGGCTACGACGACCGGCGCTCCGGCGCCATCCCCCCTCCTCCGCCTCCCCCCTCAGCACTGGTTAGAGAACGTCTCGGAATGGGGCCCCCTGACCCATACGAGCGCCCCCCTCCTCCCCCTCTGCCCTACATGGTCAGGGACCGAAGCCCCCTCAGACGAGCCCCCCCTCCACCTGCTCCATCAGCTGGTAACGGGTACTCCTACGAGCGGTCCCGCCTGTCCCCGGTGTCCAGGCCCCCGATGTATGGCGTCCCCCGCCCCAGGGACTCCTTCTCAGAGAGGATGCCGCCGCTGCCGCCTCCACCACCTCGATATGCAGGCTATTAAGCACACAGGAGTGTAATAGAACGGAAGGTGAGAACAGAGAGCGGATATTTCACGCCATCCTAAATCACATTGTAGGCATGATTGATAGAATATTAAAGAAAAATGTGCCGAGATGAATTTTAGTTGAATGGCGCTTTAAACCATCACCATCAGCCAGAGCTCTTAATTCCTGCAGATCTAGTCCAGACAACAGATCAATATATAAGCCTAAAATATTGCTGCTTTAACATCAAAGATCAGCCTTGCGCGAAGCCTGAGTAAAACACGCTCCTTGACATGTGTGGTGTGCTCTCTTTCCAGGTTTAGAATATGACAAGATCGTCGTTGTCTGCTGATGCACGTGGCGCTATGCATTCCCCTCGTCTATGGCGGATTGCGTTGCGTTCGCCTGAGACTTACTGGAAGATACTGTATTGCGGACAGCCCCCGTACTTAAAATCATACGATACCATGTCTACAGTTCACGTATTCTTCTGAGCTGTTCATGCCTTTTTTGTTCCTCTGCTTGTTTTACTGTTCAAATCCTTTAAAAAAAAAATGTTTTGCAGAATAGGTGATTAGTCTCTTTCAGTGTGACGCAGTACTGTTAATGGCCAAATAGACTGACTCTGCTCTTCAATCTTTCTAAATGGATATGGCCTCTGGGAAACTGTGACACAATTTCATAACAAGGGAAGTCATTTAAATGAAAATATATGTAGTCTTTGTAAACAAAATTATTGTGTTCAGACTTAAGATTGTTGGTTGATGACATCCAATGCTCATCAAATTAAGTTAAAAAAATTCAGTGTAGAGGTGCTTTAATATAATACTTGGTGTGGCAGGTTGTACAGAAATCTCTTAAGATTTGCGACACATGTTAGCATGACAAATCAGAAGTTCCAGTGTGGTTTTCTTTTTACACTTTGTGTTACCTTTTTTTCTTGCGAAAATAGAATCTATAGTACCGTTATGTATGATTTTATTTACTTTACAAGTTGCTTTTCATTTGAAGGCTTTTTAATAAACAAATCAAACCAAAAACGACGTTTTAACTGTGAAATTATTCCTCGTTTGGTAGGCCTTTTACTCCAATGACCTGGACAGACACTATTCACCAGACCTGATATTGGTAGTAATACCCAGGCGTTTTTTTAGTCTTGACACGCTTCCAGTTTAATTATCACACCCTTCAGAGTTATCAGCTTGACACATGGTAGGCGATGTTTTCTCCCAGCCTAACTTATCAGCTGTTCATTTCCAGTGAAAATGCACTAAAACATGTGAGAAGCAACACCCAACCTGCTTTCCACTCGAATCTTGTGTTGAAGCGAAAAAAATGTAGTTTCTGAGCGTCCCTGATAATGACGGCTTGACGTAGGATAAATTAATTTGTGCTTTCTTGAGTCATTGCCAGTGTAAACTACATGTATGCAAAAGAAAACCGAGTCCGACCTCCCCTCGAAGACCCTCAAAGTTAATCCAACTAATGACATCAGTAGTTGTCCACAAACCCTGGAGTGATTTAAACAAACAAATTTCACTATAACTTATGCTTCTTGTGTTCTTCTTCTGTGGCCACACGCGATGTAACACTGCGTCCATCTGCTGCTGCGTGTTGCACCTGGCGCACGGGGAGCCGCATCTTTCCTCAGCAACCGTCGTCCATTGCCTACCTTGTGTCGAGCCAGTTAGTGGTCTTCCTAGTAGTAATAAACTGAGCTTTGCGGTGGCCCATGTTTCTGTCGTCTTAAATAGCTCTGTAGTCTTACATTTGCATTCATCATTTCTCTCTCATTGAGTTCACACTACATATTAGTCACACTCTCCATTATTGTTTTAGCTCAGCATTTATAACTGTGTACCACAAATTGCATGCAGTCTTGGTATTCTTAGTATTTGTGCTCTTTGTAGGTTGTTAGACTCTATGCAGGAGGTGGCAGCTCATGGTAAGTCATTCTGGGACGATGTGCAGCAGCCTGTAAAGAAGAGGTAGGTATAGTTTAAACTGTACTGCAAAACAACTCTCACCAATGCAATAACCTGTCTCCTGCCTCCCTCTTGTGTTGTTGCATTTGTACTGCATTATGTTAAAAAAAAAAAAAAAAAAAAAAAACAGTCTGGGAGCCTTGAACATTTTTAAAGGAAGCTTTACAATATTTGCAAAAAAAATTACACTTCTTTACATTTTAAAACATTATCAATGTTTTTTTTTAATTGGTAAAGCACATACTTGTGTTTGATGTACTTTATCTTTAAATTAGTTGGTAAATGTGGGACAGTAGCATCCATTATATTAGATTTACTGGGGTAAAATAATACATTTGCTCACAAGCATCTGACAAAGGGAGAAAGGTGTGAATTCGTTCAGTAAATTATAGTTGTGGGAATCTAGTTGGTGCTTATTTGGGTTATATTATAAGATGTGGTAATGCAACATCGGTATGAGGTAATGGAGAAATTATGAAAATGTTTGCTTTTATCATCAACCGCTGACCGTCTCTCTTTGTCTGCAGGCTCGTCTCCACTCCGACAACAGTAACGGGTCTCCGAGTGAGTTCACACAAGTTTGTCGTCTCTGAGTGTTATAAGATGGAATCAGGCGGTCCAGTGTTAAAGGTAAAGCAGTTTGAGTTCACTGTGAAGTCCATAAGACATCTATTTTTTGTGAGCTTTGAATAAAATGTCTGTTGTTTTTACAGGAAGAGCATGTGGTCCTTCAGTGAGAGTTGGCTCCACTGTTTGGTGAACTGGAGGGAAAGATCCAATCCTCGGAAAACCTGCGAGGTTGCGTTGTTGTTCTCTGCAGCTGATGACTCCAAAAGAGGAGATATGGACTAAACCATATAGTCTGACAGTTGTGGCTGGATTTTGGTACAGTCCATATGTCCTGAAATGTGTTCTTGAAACCATTACATGAGCTTTTATACCACTGTTAAACATTATTATTTTTATATTCATGCCTATAAAGTACTGTTGATGAACCTACACCTGTTTTATACAGATATACTGTAGGCTACTGTATATAGGCATGTGCATACAATATTTGCAGTACTTCATTGTCAAATAATTTTATAAATTGTCTTTTTTTAATATGGATGTGTACTTTTGTGTCTTCCCAGTATGACAAGTTTAAACATGATAAACCTCTGTTAATAAAGACCTTTTCCTTAATGTCTGAATGGATAGACGTCCTGTCTTATTCAAACAGATTTGCTTTTTTTAAGAATTATTATAAGTTACTCTTAAAGTCTGTTAGTGGCTGAGGCAAAGGGTTTCCAATTAATTTTCCATAGCTGGAGACTTTGCTGTTAATCCCAGCTGGCTTATTGGGACTAGAATGATGCAGTATAGTTTTGATCAACCCTGCAGCTCCAAGAATGTATGGAGTACCAGGGCTGGACTGTGGCCTCTAGTGGCTGAGATGCCTAAGAAAGGGGTAGGGTACTTGTAGCTCCCCTCTCCAGTCGCTCCCTGTGACTTTGACAAAACAAATAAATAAAGAGAAATATTTTTATTTATCTTTGTCGTATCAAGTTATTCTTACATTCTCCAACTGTAAGAATGTACAGTAATTAATTAAATGTGGCAAGAAATTAGTATTATAAGGCTTAAATGTGTTTTTTGCTCCAGACAGGTTTTTCTTTATTTCTGCTCTTTTGATAGAGAAGGTTGCTGAACCCTGAATCCTAGCCTGACACAAGCTTTCTCTGGTTAACAGTCTCAGTGTAAAAGATTCTGATTTTGAAATATGTTACAGCGAAAAGATTCCCCTCAATGTGCAGGGTGTGGCTGTAAGACTAAAGACTCAGTAATTCACTATTTTTATCACTTTCAGTCAATATCACTTGATTTATCATAAGATTTAGCAACGTCCCTTTTCCTGATAAAATTAGTAGATGTGCTTATTCAGCTATGACTAGCGTGATGCTGTGGTTCTTGATGAGTGAGGAAACAAACCAGATGATATCTTTTGAAAGTGTGCTCTCTGTATTTACTTAGGGATTACAGCGGTCAGATCTTATCCCAGCATGCACTGGGGCAGACGGGTAACCAGCCATGGATGTATCAGTAGTATAGTTGTGTTATTTGGAGTGAGGAGCGTAACTCTCTCTTCTCCCTTTTTGGATGTTTTATTTGCTGACAGAAGTCATTTCAGTTGAAATAAAGTTTTCTCCTCAACTCTGAGTGTCGAGACCTCACGGGCGGTGGTTAGAGTTTCATTATGTTGACCAGAAGTTGTTTTATAGGATTCACATTCCAAACCTTTATGACCCTAGTACTCATCATTCCTGTAGTCGGCTGTTGTTAACCACACTGTTACTGCAAACTCATATTGCACTTCCTGCTCGTAAGTTCAATATAGTAAGATTGGGATTCTCCAGCCAGACTGGACTTTGTTCTAAGACTATTATAAAATAACAGTTTCTGCACCAGACCCAGACAGGATATCTGACCAGTTTGTCTCTACCTTTGACTCCTGTTGGTTATAGCTTTAGGGCCCCTGTCATTACCCAAATCCAGTTTCACTATGATGCACTGTCTCACCGTTGGATCTGTATGTTGTTTGTTTGTCCTATCATGTCATGCTGAGCAGAGAACTAAGCACATTTACTTGACTACTGTACTTTAGTACAATTGGAAGGTACCTGTACTCTGGTGTTTCCTTTTTATTCTACTTAATACTTATTACCACTACATTTCTGAGGGAAATACTTAATTTACTTGACAGCTATATTTTCCTCAAGCAGTGGATTACATAATAATATAACACTGGGAAAATGCATAACAAGTACCTCGACTTTGGATAGTTTTCACTGTATTGTGCTGATCGTTTGTAGGGGAAATGTTGAATGAAGAGCTTTCACTTGGAGTGGCGTAATTTCATTTCAGAAATTGCACCAGTTTGAAAACCAAGAAGAGAGACGTGTGCATTTTGTTCCTGTTTTTTTGTTTTTGTCTCCCTCGCTTTATAACTGTAATCTGAGCTCAAGCAGGGTAAGAATATTTACTTCATCTCAAGTAAATCTAAAAAAAACCTGTTTTTAAAATGTTAGATACTATGATGTATAATGATCACCATAAAGTATAAGTCATAGAACTGTAAATCTATGGCTGATAAACAGTATTTAACAACAACAGCATTCACAAATAACATGTTACAAAAAGAGTATTTAATGCACTTAGGTTGAATATATATAAATAAATAGCTTTAACTATTTATAACACTAAAACCAGGTGTTGTTATATTAAAATCACAGCTTTTTCATCTGTAGACACAGAGTTAGAGATACATAATACGTATACATAGGGTAATAAAAAACGTAATACTATGATTTGACATTACAAAGTGGGATCTTATCTAAACAAAAGTTTGAAATCTAATGTAACAACTACACAGTACTTTGTGTTGCCTTCAAATGCGAGTCAGAGGTAAAAAGGTAAAAGAAAGTCCCAGCATCCCATTTAGCAGTCATAGTTCATCATGACGGACACATGAGAGTCTCATCAGTCTCCAGGGGGCCGAGGTCTCTGAGTTCAGCTGGAAAACTTCTCATCGCACCAGAACCCGTATCCATGACGGGTGTCCTACTGGGCACACACATGCATGTCTCTCTGGACGGAGACACTGCCAGCACCTCAAACTCCACCTCGAAGCTCCCCTTGGCCTCGCCAGACTCACGGATGATCAGCATCTCGTACTCTCCGAACCGGATCAGGGCCTTGTCCGGGAGGTCCATCCTTTCCAGGTAGCCCAGGGCCGAGCTGTTCACTGACAGCCGTCCCCTCTGGCTCAAGTTCTGGATGGTGAACAGCATGTCCGGGCTCTGGGGTGTGCGGTAGGCGTGGAGGGCCAGCTGTTTCCGGGACACCCGGACGTCGACCAGGGCGAAGGTGCATGCCGGGGCGTCACGTCCCAGCCTGAGAGGGTCATCTGCTGAGAGCCTGCTCCTTTTCCCCAGAGGAAGCAGCCCGTAAAGGCCCTTACAACTCTGCTGAGGGTGGTAAAGCTTGATGTGGAGACAAGTTAGGAGATCCTCCTCTGTCTCCATTGTCTGGGACACATTCATAATGAAGCTGGTAGAGGGGGAATTGACTTACTGACCTTCAGGGATGAAAGGCTGTTGGGACAGAGAAACAAACCTATGAAGAAACCAATTAAAGTTGGTGTTTTACCAGTCACAAACTTAAGTAACAGAAGAATTCCTGTTGTTAGGTGAGTGTGCCTTACCTGTATGCTCAAGTTTTTAACTTGAAGATTCAGATAGTCCACAGAGGTGCAGGATCAGCTACACTACACTACACTAAGCCTTCAGGAGGAACTAACTAACGGTGTTTGTGCTGAGAGTGAAAGACTCCTCCTGACTGCAGGGTGGTGCCTTCAGTTACATCACTCCCACAAGACCCAGTGACAACAATGCTGCTTTCAAGTGGAAATTCGGAAAAATGACAGCTGTAAGTGGTAAAGCGGTGGTAAACAGAAAGCAAAAGTCTGGATTTTCATTTAATTTGAATTAGTCAGTCAAGCAAAGTGATTTGCCACCAAGCGGACCACAAGATATACAAATAGTTTTGACCAATAAAGCATTTGAAACCATTTTTTCCACGCCAGGTCACTGACTCTACTGAAGTGCTTAAACAATGAATTGGTTACTTTATTAACAAAAAAATAAACAACAACCATTTTGATTACAAATTCTTATCAAATATGATAATTTGCTACTTTTTTGTGTGTTTTATATCCTATTAAACTGAATAAGTCAGACAATAAAAGCATCATGAAAATGCCACCTTGGCTTCTTTGTTACAATTTGTTTTTCTTTACTTTTCTGATCAAGTATTTCATGAATGGATTGCTGTTTTCTAACATACAATTTTAAGATGGGTACCTGAACGCAGCAGTACAGCACGAAAAGTCCCCGATGACGCAACCTGAAAAAGAAAGGGAGTCACGCTCTTTCACATTGGCTCAGCATTGTTTCCAAACAGCGCTGCCGTAAAATGATATACCGAGGGGACTCATTCTTAAGAATTGAGGAGAATAATACACGACATACTGACCTGTAGTTAACGTTAGGACATGGTGGAACATCGTGTAAAATAATCACAATTTGTATAAAAAGCTAAAGGTTTGCTGATGTCACTACACCCTCCTGGACTGTAGGTGGCGGTGTGCTTGTGATACGGCGACGCAGACTAAAAGAAGAAGGGGGAAAGACGGACAAAAACCAAGCGGAAGTAGGCTAGGAAAGCTCTCGAAAAGGGTTTGAATCGGTTTGAATCCGTCGTCGAGGCCGCCCGGTAAAAAAGGTAACCTAAAATACACAATCCGGTGTCTTTATATTTACAGTTCGCGGCATTTTAAATGTCCGAAAGCCCTACTAACCTGTGAGTTTGTGTCTGCCGGCCCGCCGCTCTTTGCTCTTCTGGTAATATGGACATGGCTAACGCTAGGTGCTTTGTGTCATAGCGTAGCTATCAGTTAGCGCTAGCCTAGCAGATATGCTAAACCAAGGCCTAGAATTGTATGTAACCGTAGGTAGCTAGTGATTAACCCGCTAGCGTTAGAGCAACAAGTCTAATAGAAACGATTAGTTGTTACAATATGTTCCGTAATGTATGAACAATGACAAAATTATAGCTTTAGTTGACTTGAGTGATAGTTAAACTGCCGTCAGCCATTTTGCAATGAACAGGCCCGTTTAACAGCTCGGACTGCAGCATACGGAGTGAAATACGTAGGCATACTTAACGTCCTAGTTTAACACTATATGTTTGTCTGTGTGTGTTATATGGTTGAGAATTGTATTAAACGTTTTGTTTTAATTGATATTAATTGATTTATATTTTCTGTCTTGCTCTAAAACAGATCTTAAGAAATGGTGAAGATATTTGTGGGGAACCTGCCCCGAGAGGCGGACCAGGATGAAATCAAGGCACTTTTTACACAGTATGGCACAGTCACAGAATGTGCCATCATCAAGAACTACGCCTTCGTTCACATGGATGACCGCAAGGCCGCCACCAAAGCCATCAAGAATCTGCACCTACACAAGCTTCACGGCACACCAATCAACGTGGAGGCCAGCCATGGGAAGAACCAGGGTTCAGTCAAACTGCATGTAGCCAATGTTGAAAAGGGAGCCGATGACGAGCTTCGCGCTCTTTTTGAAGAGTACGGCACAGTCACAGAGTGCGCTGTGGTTAAGAATTTTGCCTTTGTACACATGTCCAACTCGGACGAGGCCATGGATGCCATCCAGGGTCTGGACAACAGTGAATTTCAAGGTAGGAAAAGGCCATTATGTAAAACGAGTAGAGATGTCGAGACATGTTGTCTCATTTTAAACCCGGTTATTTCATTTGTATTTTCTCTATCCATATTTTTTTTTGTATGTAGGCAAACGCATCCATGTCCAGATTTCTAAGAGCCGCCCAAGACATGACGAACGGGACGACTATCCCCCACCTCCCCCAGACAGGGGTGGCTATTGGCCTCCACGCTATCCAGGAGAGAGGCACGAGCCTCCCCCACCCAGCTACCTGCGAGGCCGCCTCAGCCATATACCCCCAGGTTACCCTGCCCCTCCTCTGCCACCCCCGCCCCCTAGACGAGCTGTTTATCCTGACCGTCCCTATGAGGGTGAGAGGGACAGGTATGGCGTGGTAGATTACTATGAGAAGTACAGAGCCCGTCCGTATGGCATCGCCTCCTACGAGGACCAACGTGCTGGCGCCCCTCCTCCTCCCCCTCCCCCCTCAGCCGTCGTCCGAGACCGCCTTATGCCCTCGTCGCTCGACCCGTATGAGCGTCGCCCCCTCCCACCTCCTCCGTCCTCGTACTACGGCCGAGATCGCAGCCCCCTCAGGAGAGCACCTAGCGCGCCAATGCCCCCCGCCAGTAATGGCTACTCCTACGAGCGCTCCCGACTCTCTCCGGTTTCCCGGGTCCCTGCATACGGAGTTCCACGCGCAAGGGACCCCTACGCAGAACGTCTGCCTCCGCCACCGCCTGCACGCTACGCTTATTAAGCAAGGCCCTGGCATGTGAAGGTGAGAATAGGTCTCAGGTAGACTGGTGTTCATATCTTTTCTAAAATTGCCATTCGTCCCTGTAAAGGCAGAGGCAGCTTGTTCTACAGCTTGTGTGGGGAAAAAAGCAGGTTTGGAGAAAGCATGCGTACGAAGTGCTGTTCAACAAGGTGTAACATTCGTTGGTAAAGCACGTCTGTGCACTAACTTGAGTTTTCAGCTGCTATCAGTTTTAAATGTGTGGCACAATCCGACAAAGGACGACTGTTGAACGGGACTCGAGATGCACAACTCGAACAAAAAGAAGCCAACATGTAGATAAGATGGAACAACGTGCTTTGTATCCTCAGTTGCAGACAGTTCATGTGTGTCATTTGCTCTTTTTTCAGGATCGTCGTCCGACTGCGTCGCCGCTCGCCGCCTCCTGATGCACGTGACACTATCCTCTTCCTGTCTGTGGCTGAGCGCGTTACGTTCCCCTGCGACGCTCACAGGAGGAACTGAATTGCCGACGTCCACGTCTGTTTATGTTTTTATTATTTTGGGACAGGTTTTACACTCGCATTTTTTTTGCCCTGATTGTTTTAGTTTGTTATTGTGCTGTAGTATTTTTAAATGCTTGACATCTGAGTTAGGCGTTTTCTTTTCTTTTAATTTGTACTTTTACGTTTTGAATAACTAGTGTTCTGATGTTGTGTGTGACCTTAGAGAGCTGAAGAATTTCAGCAGCAGTTTCTAGGCGATACTTGTGACTGTAGATTTAACTGAACTGATTGTTTGGTATTAAATCTAATCTGCACGTTGATTCCATCATGTTAAGCTTATCCATCGAAAAAAAAGAGAAAAAACCAAACCTCCATGTGGCGTTGCTGTGAAAACTTAAAACTGCTAAGACGTAGGGGTTTGACAAATGTAGAAAGTAACTGTTACTAGAACCGTTACCGCAAGGCGTTCACATGTACCTTTCCATTGTCGAACTTGTTTTTAAATAAACGGATTTGTGCAGTACTGTTCACAGATGTGCTCAAAATCATGCCCAGCGCTAAAGCACCACATCAGTGTAACCGCTTGAATTGATTCGCATACTCTGCTAGGGTCTCTCTCTCGAAAAAAAAATCAGCTCTTTATTAATGATGAAATCACGCTTAACAAACTTGTTAAAACCGTCACGCTGATTAAAGAAATGTCTCCTCTCTGGTCTTGTCTGAAATGCTACAGCTTTTATCATGCATCAGCGTACCTTGTAGCTTGTCCCCCTTCACTGACAACTGAAACTTGCTCACGTCAGAGCTTAAGTGAAGAAGGGCCTAACACACTCCAGCCAAACGTAACCAGGTGAGATTTCACAGCTAAGACTAGTTTACCTTGAATCTGGGGGGAGATGGCGTCAGAGGCTGCGGGAGACCTTCAGAGTCAACAGGTAAGTCAAGGGCTCTCAGGAATACTGAAGTAGAACAGACAGCACATGCTCACATGGAACTTTTATAGGTGAATATCACTAGTTATTTACTACATAGGTTTGTGAGAACCTACCATGTTGGTTAGTTAAGTGCTTTCCACTCATTGCCTGTACACACAACAACAACTACCCATTCAGCTGTAAATCTGCTACCCATAATCAACAGTGTCTGCTTGGAAATAAAGCCAAGTTACAGGAAGCGTGTGTGTGTATATATAGGCACTGCCAGCATTTTGAAACATTGGCTATGGTGTTCAAATCCGGCAAGATTCGGAGACCATGGGTGGCTTCTGGGAAAATTGTTTATTGAAATTTAAGAAGCCCTCAGGATAGCTTGGTTTGGATGAACTGGACAGAAGTTGAGATTTTGACTGAATGGAAAGCATCGGTAAATTCTACACTTGGTCTTGCTGACATTTTTTAAAACATGAAGTCAATTGACAACACAGTGAAATTGCTATAGTAACTGATTTTACACAGAATTTTGATGGACTTAAGAAATTTACAATACTTTGAATTGTATTGCCGTTTTGTGAGTCTGACCTGCATAAATAAAATATTTAAAACAACATGGACTCCCTGTTAACTAATATCCTGCCATTGAAACTGTAACTGATTTAATGCATTGCATTTTATCTAGTGTACTTATAGGAAAGTGAGGGGTTTTTACTGGAGGACCAGTGTGACTGTTCTAAATAATAGTACAATTCTGAATATTGTATGTGAATTCCCAGCTTAATCAGTTATTCACAAAACAATAGAAATAGGAAGTTGCAATGATAATTCAGTATGAATAGAATTAACTTGAAAGCAGGCTTACAGTTGACCTGAAGGGTGGATGGACTGGATAAGAGTTTTTCCCAGTTCTAAAGCGGCCACTGACAACCGTCTGCAGTTAGTTTTTATTTCCTTAGGCTACTACAGTGTTCAAGGTTCAGCTTGTCATTGTACAACACAGAATCCCTCAACCAAGGAATTTTAGTTGTTAATATTGCAAGATTGAGGTCTGACACCAGCCATTTTTATAAGTTTTGGAAATATTTACTTAAAATCCTGCAAATGTCAGAAAAAACAATACAACAATATGGTTTGATTGATTTGTTTTGTCTGAAGGCCTTTTATAGAATTATAGATTTCTACTTTTAAAATATTAAATTATCTTTTAAATATTGACTAAAACCAGTCAAAGCAAAACAAAAAGTTCATTTAACTCAAAGCAATTGTTGAAACTGATTACATCGACATTAAGTAACAGAAACTCATTTCTTTTAGGTGGAAAAAGATTCTTGATTTAGCCACTTTTATTAGTAATTTTAAGTGGCACTAACTTAGTTTGGTAAGTTACAGAAACATTCCTGATTAATAACTTTTTATTAGGCATTTTGTTTTCACAGTACAAATAAAAATTACAAAATGAAAGTCATTCTCACTTAAAATAAAAAAGCTACCAAAAATATCAAAAATATTTTGTTAACTTACTCAATAGTGTTAGTGTTGCTTAAAATGGATGGAATCAGTTTCAACAAGTTCTTGAGTTATATGAACTTATCTCTTTTTACAGTGTTGTCTTACTCAGATTTCAGTGACCTCTCTGGGTGGAAGAGGTTTTAGTTTCATTCTCCTCAATCTGCAGATACCACCGAGGGCCAGCAGGGGAAACACGCTCACGTCAAACTTTGACTTTGCTAACTAAGACTAGTCTATCAAGTTTCTAGACTAAACAGCTCAAACTACAAATGTGTATCTGTTCTATCTGTTCTATCAGTATTTGCACATTAGTCTGTGGAGGTGTGACATTGTGGTTTCACACGTGGTATTTTGCAAGTCTGCAAGCTCTGAGTCATGTTTCTGTCAGACATTTTCCATGTATGGGAAAACACAAGTTGATAAACAATGTGAAGACCTCACAAACTATATGTGCCTAAAGACTATCTGAAGATGCACACCGGCGGTTTCTCTTTGTTTTTGGATCGATACTGAGCGCTACATAGTGCATAGTTTCATCTGAGGCCAGATTCTGCTTTCGTGGACCGTGTTCTTCATTTTGAGTTACATATGACAGACAAATGTCAGTTAAACAGTTCAGGAGGTTTTGGCATGGATTTAAAGCAGATGAGCGAATAAAACCAAAGACAGATTCAGTAGCTCTCAAAAGTACCTGTCTGAAGTTTTCTGCTTTGGACAACCAAACCAATGATGACCATTATGAGGACAACAATCAGACCGCCCAGGATCTCCCTCAGCAGGCTTATTCCTTCAGGCTTTTCTTCATGAGGTCAAGGTCATTAAAATAAACATTCAAATGTACAATCTTGTATATTTTACATCAACAATCTGTTCAGTGAAAGAAATAAAATGAAAGAACCTTACTTTCAGATTTGCCATTGGCGTAATCATGAGGTTTTGTCATTACCTATAATGAAATATGAGTCAAATTTAATGAAAGCGCATTCCTGCATGTGTTGTTTTGAAGTGTGAAATTTCAGTATATTGAAAGGACTTCAAAATAAAGACTTGAGTCTTAACTCCAACATTTAGATGTATTACATTAAACAGCGTGTGTCCGTTTATGTAAAATCCACAGAAATACATCCTAGAGTCTGAGAAATCCACTTGTTTGACTTGAAGAATATCAGGAGATGTTGAAGCTCATTTCAAATTTTCCATCTGGAAATTCACCACAGAACGAAGCTTGACTGCCGGACCCGAATGTCCACGAGATACAGCTGATCTTGGTGTTGTTAGTGAGTCTGGACCAGAACGTGTGAGTGAGTTGGATGTGTGGAAATGTTGGAGTGTGACATTTTCACCAGGCTGAACCTCCACAGTCTGAGACTCAGAACCTGAGACAGAGATCCAGCCTGAAACACACAGCGGAGAAAACATGAGATTCACTCAAGCTGATAAACCAACAACATACTGGACAAGAGAGATTAGAATTGTATTTGCTGGCAGAATAATTCAATAGCAGTACTTACTGAGGGGGGGTGTTGTTTGAAAGAGGCGGGGTGTTCACATCTCTCAGTTTAAACTGCATGCGTGACCTCCGAACAAGAAGTGTTAAAGCCTGATCAGAGGCTCAAAGAGAGATTTAGTTGTAGTCTAAAGTATAACAAAAGTTTCAGATTGTGTAAATTAAAGCCTTCAAGATTTTTTAAAAATCTCTTAGTTAATTATCTTGTGTGCAGAAAGTAATTTACTATAAATTCATCTGCCTCTAACAACTTGATGACAGATGAACACAGCCACCATATATTGGATATTATATTATCCATATTCATAATCAAATTTTATTTTCAAAACAGTGAAAGAGTAATATGTGCAGCATTAGTTCAAGCCAGTAAAGCTATTTGAATGAAGTAACTCAATAGAACAAATTTAGTTTGCCTATTAAGGCCATTATGGCTGGCCAGTACAACTCAAAAGGTAATGAAAGCACAACAATTCTAATTTTCAGGTGATTATAACACTAACGCAAACATACCTATGAATATTATAGATCTTCCTAAATGTTACACACTGGATCTTTAAAGTACAAATCTGTAGCATTCATCATCAAACATGAACATGCATGCCAAAGTGCACAAAAGTATATATAAAGTATATATAAAGTAGGCTTTTTCTACAAATAAGATCTGCAAAGAACCAAAAGTTTTCACTGATACACCCAACTTTTGTGCACAAGATAAAAAAATATACCTAATAAATCTCATGGGGCCTTATGGGCTCTGTAAGGTTTCCACTGCCATCAAGTGGCTACAAACGAATGAATGCAGTTTGAAGAATTTCAGCTAGCACCATGATTAAATAAGTTGTGCTGTTGGAGAAGCTTGTTGTCACAGCGAGGAGGGCAACTATAGATTGGGAGCATGCTGCTGTGCTGCCAGCTCAGATGGTGAAGATACAGGGATACAAGAACATTTAATGTTTTGGTAAACACTGTTTATTAGTTTTCTTTTACCAGTACAAATGACATGGACAAACAATGTCTCCCACCCCACTTTCCTAGACCTTTCCCAATAGCACACAGACAGGACATAAAACTGACAAAAATGTGAAACAACAACTCAGCAGTACCAAATAAATATACAAATAAAAACAAAAGATATATATATATATTAAATACAAAAACAATATGTGTACACTCTATGATGTGTCAGTTTCAACAATAAAGGTTCCTTATGTTAGGGTACCTGTAATGCTTGCACTTCTGAGGAATGAAATAAAGGATTTTCAGGTTTCCTCAAACACATTTAGTCTATTTCTCAATGTGTACTATCTTCCCTTATACCATACATGATGCCATTTCATTAACCCATTCTTTGACACCTGGCCTATTTGTTTTCCTCCAATAAAGAGCAGAAGGCTGTTTGGCTTGCAGGATACAGATACAAGGTCATTTACTGGTCATTTTACGCCGCAGGGCTGTATCATGAAATTCAGGTTGTAGTTCCCATGATCCTGCTGGTAAAAACAAAACATATATGTACAAAAATCAGATACAGTGAATTTGTGTTGACACACAGTAGCTGAGTGCACATGTGAAGAATGGGGAAAAGGTGACTGAAACTCTGCCTAGTATTTTCACACTTGCACACCTCGCTCACAACTGCAGACACAGACTTTGATGGTTTTGTGTTTTTTGCATTGTGAAAGTCACACTCAGGAGAAAATTGCTTGCAGTGGAAAGGCCGGTCTTCTTGTGGTTGAGACGTCACTGTATGCTGAGAACAGACATTACTGTGTGTGACTGTGGAAAAGGCCACAGCGGAGCGTTGGAGACATAATACAAACACACAGAGGGCATTTTTCAGCCGGATATTGAGGACTAGGCTGCCAGGCCTATTGCAAGGCCTCATGATCTTCCCCACATCACGCTATCTCTTCCTGTCACACAAGTGGTGTGAACCTCACTCCTCCACATGACTCCCCACTTCTCTCTCTGTTTCAGGCCTCCTGCTTATTGTTGTTGATGACTAACTCAGGGCTGCATCCTTCGGGTCATGACAAGAGTCAGACAACTGTCACACGTAGGGGTTCAGGAAACCAGCTGAAGAAGAGACAATAAGTCTGATCAGCTAACATTGCTGTTTCTGCATGTTCACTCATGAGGAGGATGTGCAGGCGTTATCGTGTGTACAGGCGTTATCGTGTTGACTACAAGGACGTGCAAAAGCAACACAACCAAATGTAAGATTGACACAGCCACTGTGAGGAACCTGTCTGTCAGTTTTTTTTTATTTTTTGGTGGCTGTTTCTTACAATGCGAAAGTTACACTTCAGAGAAAATAGCATGTACTGTATCTGCACGCCGGTCTTCACGTGGTTGAGACTTTAATTTAGTCCGCCTCAGAGAGTGCGGTCTTCTAACACAGCTTAGAACTGAAGTGAAGCTCACTGGCTCACCTCACCTCACCTCACCGACATTTATTTTAAGGTTCTTTGCAAGATTAGACAGAACATGTGAAACAAGACAAGACAGACCTTATACAGTGTATGACAAAAGACAAGGGCACAACCCATTCCCCACTGAACAGCTCTCAGACCCAGAGCCTGTTTGTGTGAGGAAAGAGTTTTCTTTTTCCTATATCACCCTCACAAACATTAAAAGAAAAGAAATAGGAGGTCACAGGAGTCTTTTTTATTTGGGTTTTTTAAAGTTCAATCTAGGTTGATTGTTAAAAATATAAAATGTATGAAGACATTCATTTAGGCTGGTTACGTGGAACAATTTATTACAAAACACAGAGAAATGTGTTGCATGTTGAGTTCATGCTGTTTATTACCAAATGCAGCAGATTGTTACAAAGTTAGACAGCACAGTAATTCAATAGCAGTACTTACTGAGGCTGCAGAGGAGTAAAGCTGTTATCGCTGTTAAGATTGTTGAACCACTGCAGTGGCTATTTAAAGCTCTGTAACGGCCTTTGAAGAGTGTTTGATGCTTATCCTGTTGTTGGTGTGATCAAACACAATCTATGTTAAGTTATTCTTTAGCTCCAGTTATTCTGAGTTTTTCAGTGAATGCAAAGCACTCTGTAGTCTTGCAGTTGTAACACGGATCAGATCAGAATTTTACTCTATACACTGAATCAGGACCGTCAGCACAACCGAAGGAGGGAACTAAATATTAAGGCTTCATTTAGACTTAAAAAATGTAACTTCTAATATTATACTTGTGATGCTGATGGTAATGTAACATCCCATTTGTTTTTTCAACCTATTCCAACATGTATGGAATCCCCTGTCACACTTTCTTCTGTCATTTAATAATGTGTATTTTGACAGAAAATCTGTATAATTTAGACACCAAATGTTTACATATAATGGTTTTGGTCCTAAGAGGAGATGGATGGGAGCTGTAGCTGCTGTGGTTCTGCTGTGATCTGTCTTAAACCCATTCAGCCTGTGGAGTGGATGGTTTTTCATGAGGCTGTGCAGATACCTCCCCAGTACCATAGTGTCCGTCTGTCTTTCCAATGCTACATACAGTGTGTAGAAGCTGATATTTGTGTGACAGATGCCAGTAAACCAATGTTCTCTGCTTCTTTTCTGATTTTACTCTTGCAGAGCTTTGATCAAACAGCCCTCATGACTTTCCCCTCAGTTGTGTTCAAACCGCACTGTGCCATCTCTTCCTGTCAAACAAGTGATGTGCTGCGGATGTTTAGCTAGTTAGTAGGTCCTGAGTATTTAATTTAGCTGTATTTTGTTTGGTTGTTAGATTTTGCAGACCTCCATCTAAATTGCTATAAGATAATGTAGACAGTCATCTTTTCCCCATTGTGGGACAAATAAAGGAATATCTAATCTATCTAATTCCTCTGCTGTCAGACTGACATGGAGAGCAAGTATGAAATAGGATCAAAAATCAGCATGAGTAAGAATGTTGTACATTTTACATGGATCTCTGTGATAAAGTCAGACTTTTTGACAATGTTGGTGCACCCGCCAATCACACTGCTGCTGTTCCAGGTGCTTCCTGAGTGAATCTGGGGGCTGAATAAATAGCATTTGTCTCCACTGTTACTTCTGAATCAGGCCTGTGGTTTCTTTGTGGTTTTGGAAGAAAAGTCACCGCTGCATAGTTCAGTTCAGCTGAGACCGGACTCTGTGAATCAAAGGATTTACAGTCACTCATCTCACATCGCTGAGTGTGTGAGAAAAAGAAAATAAAACGTAGTAAACTTCACCTCTGTCTGTTGTGGATTCTGTTCTCCAATATGAGCTGAATGAGCGAAACAAAAATAATGCTGTAACACATTTTGTTAAATAGGAAGTTGTGAATTGGTCTATCAGCTACTTCAAAAAAGGATGTGGAAAACTAAAACTAAGTTCAGTTACCTTTCTGAAGCTTTTTGATTTTAACAGTCAGACAGATGACGACCAGAACAAGGAAAACAGTCAGACCGCCCAGGATCACACTCATCGGCTTCATTATTCCATCCAACACTTCTACAAGAAAGATTATTCAATTAGTCACCTCTAGTAGCTTCAGATCTGACTGCCATTTCAAAATACACAAATGACAGATGCATGGCAAAAATTTTAATGTTATACAGAAAGAATTGAAAAGTAGATGATTTGATAGATCTAAAATCTTAAACTCAACCAAAATTAAATGTTAATCTGAAAAGCACCAGATCTTACCTTGAACCTCTAAAAACGTTGCATCGACAATAACCAGGTTTTTGGTAATGTAAAATCCACAGAAATACAGTCCAGAGTCAGATAAATCCACTTGTTTGATTTTGAGAAAGACAGAAGAGTTGTTGGAGCTCATTTCAAATTTTCCACTTTTAAATCCATCACAGTGTGAAGCAGAGTCAGTAGAACTGAACATAGAGGAGACACAGTGAGGCTGTGAACTTTTGACCAGTTTGTACCAGGTTGTCTGAGTGGGAACACTGGAAAAGTTGGAGCACAGCATTGTGACATCTTCACCAGGCTGAACCTCCACAGTGTGAAACTCTGAACCTGAGACAGAGATCCAGCCTGAAACACACAGCAGAAATATTCCTCATGTTACTGACAGAGCAACAGGAATGTGATCAGTGCCTTCATATGATTTCATTAACAGTAATTCAGTAGCAGTACTTACTGAGGCAGCAGAGAAGTAAAACTGTTATCAAGGTGAAGTTCCTCATTGTGCGTATGTTCGTGTCCCTGTAATGGTGCTTTATAACACTGAGCTCTGTCACAGGGGTTGAAGAGGCGGAGTGTTTTCTTCACATATGCTGTACCTTGGTATTTGCTCATCACACCAGCTCTTGTGAAAAATCAGAGTGACACACATAAAATCACCTTAAGACATAACTTATGAAGTTTACAGTACGACACAGTGTTAACATCATGTTTTGAGTTCCATTGGGAATTCATGTTATGAATTATGTTATGCTCAAAAACCTGATCAAGATCTGTGCCATTAAGTAATGCGGAACTAGTTGGTTGACCACTATATTTCCTGCTCTTTTCTGTTTTTAAAACATCCACACATTTACATTTTGTCTGTGTTCTGTAAGACAAAGTAACCCTAAAGAAAGAAAGACGGAGGACATGAAACTTTACATTGATTTTGGGGGATTTTCTTGCAGTCGATGTTACTGAACACAAGAAGACAGAACATTTACCACAGGCATATTCAGTTGTCCAGAGTGTAGAGTGGATGGGCTCATATGAGGCTGTACATGGGTCACCCTACATCTTCTCACGCTTTTAGAAGAGATATATTTAAAGAAAACAGGAAGTTTACTTTACATTCAACAAGTCATGAAGAAGCATTATTGCTCTTGTGGAACATGAGGCCCTTTGTTGTGTGTGGCTCTGATGCAGAGAGCTGAAGACCTCACTCATGATACAGATACAGATAACTCACTGATACAGACAGTGCTGTTTGTCACCACAGTGCAACCATGGTCATATAGGTCCAATATGAATCCATGTGATAACATTGAGTTTTTAATTCAGACCTGTAGCATACAGCAATGATCAAATAAGGTACAGAGACTCTGTATGTCTAGTCTTCATCTGTGTGCTGCAGTGTGGTGCCTTCAAGTGCTACAAAATGAAAAAACAAAACTGACATATAGAGAGCTATAGAGTTATTCCAATTTTTCCAGTTATCATTCATATCAATCATCATGTGTTTTCTGGCTGTTGCCTACATTGTGAAAGCAACACACTGGAGGAAATAGCAGTCAGCTGAAGGCTGGTCATCTTGTGGTATTGAGAAGGCTGACAGACAGCACTGAAAACACATGACTAGTTTTTAACTTATGATATATTGCTATAGATAAAGTAGTTTAAATGACCCCCTTTCTGTACCAGCTGCTATATTATAGTGCTTCATACAGGTTAATGCAACAGGAATTTTACTTTTAATACTTTTAGTACATCATGCTGATGATGATGTAGCACAGGAACAAAGGGACCCTTGTAGGGGAAGTGGCCTGTCAGGTGAGAGCCACAAAGTAATAAGTAGGCTCATGGGCAGAAGGTGTGGAGACTGCACATTGCCTCATTGTGTATTTTAGTCTTAGTTTTAATATCTTAGTTTTCATTGTTCCTTGGATAATTGATTTTATACAATGTAGGGTCTTATTTATTTCTAGTGCTGCGGCTGGTGGTGGCCTCCTTGCAGTCTGCGTGGGGTCGGAGTGCTGGGAGTTCATTCACTTGTTTTTGATGGTGGTATGATTTGCGGTGGCACATCTTTATTAGTGTGGTGTTTTATTTGAATTGTGTTTTGGTTTGTTACATTCATCACAGGTTGAATACTCCCAGAGCACCATCAGTGGGTGGTTAGCTTCCGTCCACGGTACGTCTGTCTGTCCTCCTCCTTTCTTTCCTTTCCCTGAATTTTTGTAAATGCTCCAATAAATAGCCAGTTATGGCAGTTACCCCAAACTGACTGATGTTACCTCTTTACTGAAGCTCCTCTGTTCCAGTTCACCCATGTTACAATAATACAGATTAAGTGACATTTCCACTCAGAGTTGCAGCTCCAGTTGTGTCCTGAGTCTCTCTGGTGGCAGCATACACAGCATTCAACACCAGCTCTCTCTCTCTGTCTGACACACACCTGTTTCATTTAGGTTCTATGTCTCACTCGATCATATCCTAAAAACCTGCAGCCTGGAGCAGAGTGAATGGTGTGAGGGCCGACCTTCCTGTAGTTGAGACCTCAGTCATGACCCAGATACCTCACTGATACAGTGCTGTATATTACAACAGTGCCACAATGGGCAGGTGGAGCTCATATGTATTTGTTATGACAAATGCAACTATTAATCATATTTAAATGCATTTTATTTTTGATTCAGACATTTATCACACATTTACACACATGCATGACATCATACTGCAGTTAAAGTATTAAGTTTACACATTTATGCTTTATAAAAACTGTTTAAATGTTTGTTTTGCATATTTCACAGTAGACTGTGCAGTTGTTGACTGATTTGTTGGTTTCAGATTGCATTCTCTCAAAGCTTCAAGTTAACAGACCTCATGATTTTCACCTCAGTTGTGAAGGTGGTGAGTGTGAGGCAGCAGGGAGAGCACCCAATGCAGACAATGCACAACAGCAACAGTTAAATGGTTTATAGGTAGGCAGACAGAGAAAAAAAAAAGTCTGATATAAGTATTACAGAGTTCATGAGAACATGTGTGAAGGCGGGTGACAGCAGGGCAGGAAGGAGCGGCTGGAAGTGAGAAACGACAAAAAGGCTGAGGGCATCTGGCGGACAGCTCAAGGATGGCAGGAAAGTATAAGGCCTGGGGCAGAGAGAGAGAGAGCAGTGCAGAGGGCAGGGGATGAGAGAGTGTGTCTGAAGGGAGGGACTGAGGATGGAGGCAAACATTGTGACATCAGCTGTGTGCAGAGCACTCTGTCAAACAAGTGATGTGAACCTCACTCACTCCTCCACGGCTGCAGACCTCCATCTGACTCTAACTTTGAACCCTTAGTCAGCAATGTCCTCATGGTTCCTCCTCAACAAACATCAATCAAGAGAAGTTAATTCCCCCTACCCACCACTTATAGAGAAAAATCACAGTAGCAGATTAATATGATAAAGCATCAGTTCCTCTGAACCACTCTGAGTCTATCTGCTGGCAGCATAAATAACACGAGTCTCCACTTGTCTCTCTGACTCAGGCCTCCTGTTTCTTATTGTTGTTAAATACAAACTCAGGGCTGCATCCTTCAGGTCATTAGAGTCCAGATTCTGTAAAGAAGAGTCAAACAACTCTTAGGTAATGAAAATGATAATAAAAACCTTTATTTATATAGAGTAAAACATAGCAATAAATAAAAATATAAACAAAACAAAAAATCTCTGCTGTATAAAAGGAAAGATAGAAGGATCAGAGGAAGACAAAAAGTGTGTTTTAAGAAGCGACACCTGTCAGCAACAACGACAGTATTTAATAAGTTATTACATTATTGGTAAAACTGCAATGACTCAAAAAAGTCTCAATCAATATAATTATCAATATATAAACACAGTCTTAAAGTTATATTTACCTCTCTCCATTGGTGATTCTGTTCTTCATTATCAGCAGATGAAAGAAATAAAATGCCCTTTTAGTTAACAGTTTTTGTTAAATGTTGCTTTTTATGTTCAAATACAATAAAACTGAGTTCAGTTACCTTTCTGAAGCTTTTTGATTTTAACAGCCAGACAGATGACGACCATAGCGAGGAAAACAGTCAGACCGCCCAGGATCAGCTTTGTTAATCCATCAAACCCTTCTACAAGAAAGATTATTAAATTACACTTGACCATTGGCAGAAATGTTAATATTCAATAAATTTAATATTAATCTGAAAAGCACCAGATCTTACCTTGAACCTCTAAAAACGTTGCATCGACAATAACCAGGTTTTTGGTAATGTAAAATCCACAGAAATACAGTCCAGAGTCAGATAAATCCACTTGTTTGATTTTGAGAAAGAGAGTATAGACATTGGAGCTCATTTCAAATTTTCCACTTTTAAATCCATCACAGTATTTAGCAGGGTCAGTAGACCTGAACATAGAGGAGACACAGTGAGGCTGTGTTCTTTTGACCAGTTTGTACCAGGTTATCTGAGTGGGAACACTGGAATAGTTGGAGCACAGCATTGTGACATCTTCACCAGGCTGAACCTCCACAGTTTGAAACTCTGAACCTGAGACAGAGATCCAGCCTGAAACACACAGCAGAAATATTCCTCATGTTACTGACAGAACAAGAGGAATGTGATCAGTGCCTTCATATGATTTCATTAACAGTAATTCAGTAGCAGTACTTACTGAGGCAGCAGAGAAGTAAAACTGTTATCAAGGTGAAGTTCCTCATTGTGCGTATATTCGTGTCCCTGTAATGGTGCTTTATAACACTGAGCTCTGTCACAGGGGTTGAAGAGGCGGAGTGTTTTCTTCACATATGCTGTACCTTGGTATTTGCTCATCACACCAGCACTTGTGAAAAATGATCTAAAACCCATAAAATCGTTACCTTAAAACATGACTTTTGAAGTTTACAGTACGACACAGTGTTAATATGTTGTGAATTCCACTCAGCCACATTCTTCAACTTCATGTTATTCTCAAAAACCTGATCAAGATCTGTGCCATTAAGTACTGCGGAACTAGTTGGTTGACCACGATAGGTTGCCTGCTTGCTCACATTTACATTTTGTCTGTGTTCTGTAAGACAAAGTAACCCTAAAGAAAAAGACAGAGGACATCAAACTTTACATTGATGTAGGCGGGATTTTCTTGCAGTTTGCGTTCCTGTTGCAAGAAGACAGAACATTTCTTCATGATAATGTTAATAGAAGTTAATTTTAGTTAGAAAAGATTACATTTTACTCTCAGGCCAGTAGGTGAATAGGTTCTAAACTAATGGGCAGACTGAAGCCAGATGTAAAAACAGGTTTTCTGCTGTAGTTCTGCTGTGATCTGTCTTGTCCAGCCTGCAGAGTGGATGGTTTCATTCGAGACTTTACATGGGTCACCCTCATCTTCTCACGCTTTTAGAAGAGATAGAGTTAGCGATAACAGGAAGTGTACTTCACATTTTACGAATCATGTGGAACACGAGGGACTTTGTTGTGTGTGGCTCTGATGCAGAGAGCTGAAGACCTCACTCATGATACAGATACAGATACAGATATAGATAACTCACTGATACAGACAGTGCTGTTTGTCACCACAGTGCAACCATGGGTAGGCGGGAGGTCTTATCGGTCAAATATGAATCCATGTGATACATTGTTTTTTTTAACTCAGATCATCACTCACTCAGTCATCCAGTAATAATGTAGAATGATTTAATACTTACAGGTTGAATTCAGCTTGACATTGAATACTTTTACTTTTTATACTAATTGTGCTGATGATAATACAGATGATGTGTCATTTCTACTCACAGTTCCAGTTGTGTCCACCATCTCTGGTGGCAACATACTCAACAACATCAACATGTGATTTGTCATTGACCCTCAAAATAAGATAAATATACTCACTTTAACAACATCTGTTCTACTCTAAGTTGCAGTTACAGTTGCTTCCTGAGTCTATCTACTGGTGGCATAAATAACATGAGTCTCCACTTGTTTCTCAAAGAAACAGGAGGCCTGAGTCATTGTTGTTGAATACAAACTCAGTGCTGCATCCGTCAGGTCATCATAGTCCAGATTCTGAATATAAGAATCAGACAACTCTCATATGACTTGGTCAACAACAATAGCACAGGTCAATATGTTATTTAACATTTGACAAAGCTCCTGGAATGACTCATAAATGTCCTAATCAATATAATAATCAGTATATCAAAATCAATCAATCATTCAAATCTTAAAGTTGGATTTACCTCTCTCCATTTTGGATTCTGTTCTTCATTATGAGATGATGACAGAAATAAATCCCATCAGACCGCCCAGGATCACACTTATCAGCTTTGTTATTCCATCAAACACTTCACAAGAAAAATCATTTAATTAGACTCACCTCTAGCTGCTTGAGATCTGATTAATATAAGGGACAAAACTGACATGTCATCTGGTAAAGTTGGAATTTTTATACATACTGTATCTTGTTATTTAAAAGGTTATATTTTACTCTCAGGCCAGTGATGAGTAGGTTCTAAACTGATGGGCAGACTGAAGCCAGGTGTAAATAAAGATTTTCATTTTAACTCCAAACAGCTGCATTGAGCTCCACCTGCATCTGCTGGGATCTATCTTTAACATGTCCAGCCTGTAGAGTGGATGGGCTCATATGAGGCTGTACATGGGTCACCCTACATCTTCTCATGCTTTTAGAAGATATATTTAGAGAAAACATTTTAAAAGTCATGAAGAAGCATTATTGCTCTTGTGGAACATGAGGGCCTTTGTTGTGTGTGGCTCTGATGCAGAGAGCTGAAGCCCTCACTCATGATACAGATGTAGATAACTCACTGATACAGACAGTGCTGTTTGTCACCACAGTGCAACCATCGGCAGGCGGGGGTCTTATGTATGCATTTTAAACTCTTACTGCAAATATGAATCCATGTGATACATTGTGCTTTTAATTCAGACATGTAGCATACAGCAATGACCAATTAAGGCACAGAGTCAGAAGGCATTTGGACAGCTCAAAGATGATTTCCCAGGGAGAAAATGTCTAACTAATTGAGTAAATAGTTTAATAAGTTTAGTAATTTTTTTTATGCAATGGTCAGGTTTCCCCTAGGCCGGAGGTAGCAGTCTAGCAGTCTTATCTTAAAGACGTGCAGCCAGAAGCAGAGGGAATGGTTTCATATGAGGTTGAGCCACTGTCACGCTGCTTCTTTTCACAAGTTTGAGAGACGCTGATGCACCGTGTGGAGGTAAACTGGTGGTGTGAGTGTGAAGTGTGACCTGTGACGAGGGGTGTGGTGACAGTTTAAGAACCTATTTACCTCCACATGCATGCTCACTGATCTCTACAAACATGGTGCAGATGTGGTTATGATGCAGAGAGCTGAAGGCCAAACTTCCCTAATGACACAGATACAGATACTGATACAGACAGTGCTGTTAGTTACCACAGTGCAACAACTGGCATTTTATTTTTATTTAAAAATTTTTATAATTAAATTTTTAAAAGACAGTTGTTTACTGCTTTATTTCAGAATATACTCACACAAAGCTTTGAGTTAACAGGCCTCATGGGTTTCACCTCAGTTGTTCTCAGACCACACTGTGCTGTGTCTTCCTGTCAAACAAGTGAGGTGAACCTCACTCACTGCTCCACTGCTGCCTCCATCTCTTAATAAGATACTCTGAACATCATCAGTATCCTTACTGGCTCGTCCTGCACTAAAAACCAATCATAATCTTTTGCTTTCAGATTAACATTTAACATTTTAACATGATAAAGTAACAGTTCCACTCTGAGCTGCTGTTCCAGATGTTTCCTGAGTCTATCTGGTGGCAGCATACACAACATGTGACTCCAGCTGGTTCTCTGATGGAGAACTTCTGCTGCGTCTTGCTTTTTGATGGAAACTCAGAGCTGCATAGTTCAGGTGATCAGAGCCCAGGTTCTGTAAATAAAAATATTTACAGTCACTCATCTGACATGGCTGAGTTTGTCCAGAAAAAATAAATAATTAAATGAGAATTGACCTGAACCAGACAACATATAAAAATAGACATTAATCAGTCTTAATCTGAGGTTATAATGTGATTACCTCGCTGTGTTGTGGATTCGGTTCCTCTTTATGAGCTGACAGATGACAGAAACAGAACGTCTGGTGAATTAATTGTTTAAAAATATTGTTTTTAATACTTTTTGAAAAACAGGAAGTTGCATTTTTGCATTTGCAACATAAATAATAATAAGTACCTGACTGAATTTTCTTGATTTTGACAACCAGACCAATGACGACTATAATGAGCACAACAATCAGAGCACCCAGGATCACACTCATCAGGCTTATTGTTCCATCAAACAGGTCTACAGGAGAGATAATTACAGTAAATGAAACTGTTTGTGTAGTATTTTACCTCTCAGTAAATCTGTTTCTTTCTTCAATCAAAACACAGAACAGACTTTACAACAATCTTACCTTGAACCTTTAAAGATGTTGCACTGAAAATAACTGAGTTTCCATCTGACTGAAATCCACAGAAATACAGTCCTGAGTCAGATAAATCCACTGGTTTGATAATGAGGAAGAGGGTAGTGGTGTTGGATGTCATATTAAATTTGCCATTTTGAAATCCATCAAAGAATGTAACATTGGCATCAGAGCTCATCATAGAGGAAATGCGGCTGGCGTTGGGTCTGTGGGCCAGTTTGAACCAGGACATGTGAACGGGAAGACTGCTGAAGTTGGAGCACAGCAGTGTGACTTCTTCACCAGGCTGAACCTCCACAGTGTGAAACTCAGAAACAGAGACAGAGAACCAGCCTGAAACACACAAGACATTTATTCATAAACTTCAGGAACCAAACAAAGCACATAAACTCTGTTATGAACAGTCTGTAAATTTCACATCTGGCAGATTACTAAAGGAAAACTAACATTTGTTTGAGAAAAAAGAAGGTTTACTTACTGAAAGTACAAAGTAAAGTTGCTAGGAAGGTAAAGTTCATCATCGTGCGTACAGTAGGACTCCACCACTACAATGGCTGCTGTAACTGAACTGTGCTCCAGTAAAAGTGGTCTCAACGTAAAGAGGCGGAGTGTTCTTTTTTTTATCTGGCTGCTCACACTGACAATGAAAATGGTTAATAGCTGCAAGGAGAACAGGATAACATTATTGTGTTGTTTGATGAGACTTTAGATAATGTAGGTAATGCTTTAATAAAATCAGTGTGTATAATTCTATACAGTATGAGGAAGTGTAATCTTTGATGTACTTTGTCTCCATCAACTGTTATATATCAGGATACCTCATATAGTAGTGTGTTATCACACACATATCCAGCAGACATTTTAACTGAAAGCTTATGTACTCACTGGACTAGTTGACCCATCGTAGAGGTTTGATTTTATACTGTTTGCTTCATGTTATAAGTGATACTCTCTCCACAGGAGATATAGTGGAGTAGCAGAGGGTGGATGAGGAAGAAGGAATAGGTGTGTCTTTGGGAGGTGCTATAAAAGGCAGAGCTTGAAGGTTGGTAGGCTTCTTTGTGTTCCACCTCTTGTCTGAGGTACATGCTGAGCTCTAGGGTGAGAGACATTCAGAGATTGTGAATTGTCATGCAGTTAGATAGGACATTTACATCTCTATACTTCTCCTAGTTTATTTAACAGGGTTGTGTGAACTTAGATTTCTGGTATTTATTGAGAAATATCTAAGTCAAATATGGTATGAAATCTAAATTCTGTCTCATGATGTACTCCAGTTATTTTTTTGTATTTGTCTTAATTCCAGTCAAGCACTGAATATTATCCATGAGGGTTTCTTTTGTGTGTTAATGCTGCCTGCTTTATAATTTAAAGATAGAATTAAGGTTAGTCCTCCAGTCCCTCTGTAGGGTTTCCCGGTGGTAGCCAGTGGGTGTACTGTTAGCTGTGGTGGTGTGGCATCTGGATTGGCAGTGGAGGGGTGTGTGGAGGTAGTTTGGCTGTGGTCACCTTTAAGATGGATTGGTGGTGTATTTTGGTTGCAGAAACTATTATTGTTGCTGGTGATTTTAATAAAACAGATCTCAGAATTGTTTTACCTAGATTTCACCAGCATGTCAATGTCTCCACCGAATACACCGGGCCGTGTTTATACAAATATTCATGGCAGCTACAAAGCCCTCCCATATAACTATTTTGGTCTATCGGACCATATTTCCCTGCTTTTCCAGCCAACCCAGCTGATGAAGAAGCTGGTGGTGGATTTCCACAGGAAGAAATCTGCCCTCACACCCATCTCCATCAACGGTGTGACTGTGGATGTTGTCCAGGATTACAAATACTTTGGAGTCTACCTGGATAACAAACTGGACTGGCCCAAGAACACTGAGGCTGTTTACAAGAAGGGCCACAGTCGACTCTATTTCCTGAGGAGGCTCCGGTCATTCATCGTATATAACATCATGCTGAGGATGTTCTACCAGTCGGTGGTAGCCAGTGCCATCTTCTTTGCTGTTGTGTGCTGGGGCAGCAGGCTGAGGGCAGCGGATGCCAAGAAGATCAGCAGGATCATCAGGAAGGCTGGCTCCGTCCTAGGGGTCCAACTGGACTCTTTGGTGGTGGTGCCTGAGAGGAGGATGCTGTGTAAACCGCGCAATATCCTGGACAACAACGCTCACCCTCTCCACCAGGTGCTAACCTCGAGCAGAAGCACCTTCAGCAACAGACTCAGAGGAAACACAGAACGCCAGAGGAAGTCTTTTCTTCCTGTGGCCATCAGACTATATAACTCATCTACCTCCGGTCACGAGAGGGACAGTGGAGACACTGTGCCCTGAGCAAATGTCACTTTATCATTTTTTACCCTATTTTCACTTCATCACATTATTTAGTTGTACTGTACCTTAGTTAATTTATGCTGCTAACAAATGCTGCTACAATTTTTATCACTGTTACCACTTTCTCCAATCGCTCCTTCTCACTGATTTAGTTTGTACTTATTTTATTTAAATTTATGCTGCTAAACTGCACAGTGCGTATTGTGTATATTGTATATACCTACGTTTAACTGCAATTTTTGTTGCATTGTCACATTTAGTTACTTATGTTACCTGTAAGTGCTTGCATTTTGTTGCATTTAGTTAATTGTTTGATTTATTTTGTGTTAGCCTTTATTTTATTATCTATTTTATTTTATTTTATGTTAGCTTATTTTTACTGTAACCCTGTATTACTTTCAAGTATGGACAGATGAAGCTAAAGCAGCTCTACAGGACTGTTTCAAATACACAGACTGGCACATGTTTAAAGGGAATACCAGCCTGGAGAACCACATCAATCGGAAAAAAAACAAAACTGCCTTTCGGTCAGGTGACAAGGAAGCCCACAGCACTGCCAGAGCAAGACTGAAAGCTGGCATTGAGGAGACAAAGAGGAGGCATCAGCAGAGAACTGAGAGATACCTCAACACCAACAACACCAGAGATATGTGGCAGGCGTTCCAGAACATCATGGGCAGGAACGCTCCCATCATGTGTAAGATCGCTCAAGACGAGCTCCATTGTACCTAAAAAGTCACGCCCGTTCTGATGAAGTGCTTTGAGAACCTGGTTCTCAAGCACATAAAGAATAACATCCCTGCCGGCCTGGACTACCAGTTTGCATTCAGAACCTACAGATCCACAGAGGAGGCCATCTCTACTGCCCTCCACTCAGTCTTCACACACGTTGAGAAAAACAACACCAATGTCAGAATGCTGTTTGTTGATTTCAGCTCAGCATTCAACACAATCTCCCCTGTTAAACTGATGGATAAACTCAGCAGTCTGAGCCTGAGTACCACACTCTGCAACTGGATATTGGACTTCCCCACAAACAGACCACAGATTTGTGGTCACACTTCCTCTGCTCTACTGCTCAACAACGGAGCCCCTCAGGGCTGTGTGCTCAGCCCCCACCAGTTCACACTGTACACCCATGACTGCATCCCCCGACATGGAGACCACTCTGTTGTGAAGTTTGCACATGGCACCACCATCATTGGCCAAATTTCAAAGATGAGACTTCATATTGCGAGGAAATCAACAATCTTACAGATGGATGCACAGAAAACAACCTACTGCTCAACGTCAGCAAAACCAAGGAGCAGATAGTTGATTTTAGGAAATAAAGAGGCAAAGACACACACCCCTATTTACGTCAGTGGCACTAAGGTAGAGCAGGTAAACCATTTTAGGTTTCTGGGAATCTCCACCCTGGTTGAAAGAGCACAGGAACTAATGTATATATAAATTTCACAAAAGTTGTTCACCCATGTGATTTGATCTCCGAGAAATAAATCTCAAATATAGAATATATCAATCTTATTCTAATCTAACAAGGGAAACTATTCTGACATGTCATTGTGATGTAAGTTCATTCATAAAAAACATGTTAGAATATATCAGAATTGTAATTCCCACATTTTCCCTAAGTATGCCATTGAAAATCTGCATTTTGTGCTGTATTTAATAAACTGCTACAAATGATAAATCAGTAAGGATAAACTCCTGCAGTGATGCTAATGTCACTGATCAATCTGCTACAACAACTCAAAAAAAGTGCAAATTAGCATGATGTTAGCTTGATAATAATGTATACTCAATATAAACTGATGAAATGATTGTATCAGTATTAGCAGTTGAAATCTTACCTTGCCAGTGAGAGTTATTGCATTAATGTGTGCAAGGCTGACTGTGTTGAAATACATATCAGAGTGGAGATGGATGGGACCTTCACACCTGCTGTGGTTACAGTGTGATCTGTCGTTTAAATGTCTGGGCTTTAGCAGAGTCAATGGCACTGTGCAGGCATCACCTTGCAACATGCATCTTTTCACAAGAGAGTGTGAGTGTGTGTGAGTATTGAGTCTGTTAAGTGTGAGCTGTGATGAGGGGAGCAGTGACAGTTTGAGATTGATTTACCACCAACAAGATGCTCAAAGATCACATCTCTACCAACACAAACACAAAAACATCTTCACTTTATAGTCTTTTTTATTCTTTGGGAAGATGAAGGCCTTTGTTGTGTTGTATTTAAACAGTGTTTAATATAATAAAGTAACAGTTCCACTCTGAGCTGCTGTTCCAGATGTTTCCTGAGTCTATCTGGTGGCAGCATACACAACATGTGACTCCAGCTGGTTCTCTGATGGAGAACTTCTGCTGCGTCTTGCTTTTGGATGGAAACTCAGAGCTGCATAGTTCAGGTGATCAGAGCCCAGGTTCTGTAAATAAAAATATTTACAGTCACTCATGTCACATGGCAATATTTAAATGAGAAATGACCTTAACCATACAACATATAAAAATAGACATTAATCAGTCTTAATCTGAGGTTATAATGTGATTACCTCGCTGTGTTGTGGATTCAGTTCCTCTTTATGAGCTGACAGATGACAGAAACAGAACATCTGGTCAGTTAATTGTTTAAAAATATTGTTTTTAATACTTTTTGAAAAACAGGAAGTTGCATTTTTGCATTTGCAACATAAATAATAATAAGTACCTGACTGAAGTTTCTTGATTTTGACAACCAGACCAATGACGACTACAATGAGCACAACAATCAGAGCACCCAGGATCACACTCATCAGGCTTATTGTTCCATCAAACAGGTCTACAGGAAAGATAATTACAGTAAATGAAACTGTTTGTGTAGTATTCTACCTCTTTTGAGTTGAGATCAGCCCTGATTTTTACATTAAATCAGTTTCTTTCCAATCAAAACACAGAACAGACTTTACAACAATCTTACCTTGAACCTTTAAAGATGTTGCACTGAAAATAACTGAGTTTTCATTTAAGTAAAGTCCACAGAAATACAGTCCAGAGTCAGATAAATCCACTGGTTTGATATTGAGGAAGAGGGTAGTGGTGTTGGATGTCATGTTAAATTTGCCTTTTTGAAATCCATCAAAGAATGTAACATTGGCATCAGAGCTCATCATAGAAGAAATGCGGCTGACGTTGGGTCCGTTGGCCAGTTTGAACCAAGATATGTGAACGGGAAGACTGCTGAAGTTGGAGCACAGCAGTGTGACTTCTTCACCAGGCTGAACCTCCACAGTGTGAAACTCAGAAACAGAGACAGAGAACCAGCCTAAAACACACCAGACATTTATTCATAAACTTGTATTTCAACAGGAACTAAGCGCATAAACTATGTTATTTATGAACCGTCTGTAAATTTCACATCTGGCAGATTACTGAAGGAAAACTAACAATTGTTTTACTGAGTAATAACTGGTAGGTTTACTTACTGAAGGTACAAAGTAAAGTTGCTAGGAAGGTAAAGTTCATCATTGTGCGTACAGTAGGACTCCACCGCTACAATGGTTGCTGTAACTGAACTGTGCTCCAGTAAAAGTGGTCTCAACGTAAAGAGGCGGAGTGTTCTTTTTTTTATCTGGCGGCTCACACTGACAATGAAAATGGTTAATAGCTGCAAGGAGAACAGGACATTGTTATTATGTTGTTTGATAACACGATATAATGTAGGTAATGCTTTAATAACTGTTCTTATCTTATATCAGGATTCCTCATACAGTAATGTGTTATCACACACACATCCAGCAGATGTTTTTACTGAAACTTTATGTACTCACTGATAATACACAACAAGGTGTTCTGCTATATTATTAATGATATGGTTGAGGCTCTCTGCAGATTAGGATATTTTCCACATCAGGACATTTCATTTCCGTATCAACAGAAGCCGTGGTTATATTGTCATACATTTATTGGACGTTTATTGCAGTCCACTTAGCCCATGGTTAGCCCGTGAGTTTCTTGTGTGAGAGTATTGTAGCATGATGCAGACTATTATCACCTACAGTTGTACTGATCTCGATCAAGAGCTGAGACCAAACCAGAGGCAAATGTCTTTTATACAATCATACAATTTTAAGAGACTCCGATATTAAGAAATGAGTATTTTCTGTGATATGAGAAGATCACAGTTGAACACAAAGTTATTAGTTCAGCCATGTGATTTCATCTCAAGCTCAAAGAAATCCCGAAAAATGTAACTGTGATGCAGCTTCATTCATTCATATTGAAAAACACTGAATATGCTAGAATTCCCACAGTTTCCCTAAGTACGCCATTGAAAGTCTGCATTTTGTTCCATATTTTATAAACTGCTACAAATGATAAATCAGTAAGGATAAACTCCTGCAGTGATGCTAATGTCACTGATCAATCTGCTACAGCAACTCAAAAAAAGTGCACATTGGCATGATGTTAGCTTGACATTAATTTATACTTAATATAAACTGATGAAATGACTGTATCAGTAATAGCAGTTGAAATCTTACCTGGCCAGTGAGAGTTATTGCATTAATGTGTGCAAGGCTGACTGTGTTGAAATACATATCAGAGTGGAGATGGATGGGACCTTCACACCTGCTGTGGTTACAGTGTGATCTGTCGTATAAATGTGTGACTGTTAACAGAGTAAATGCTATCATATAACACGGTGCAGGTGTCACATTACAACATGCATCTTTTCACAAAAAGTGTGAGTGTGTGTGTGTATTGAGTCTGTTAAGTGTGAGCGTTGATGAGGGAAGCAGTGACACAGTTTGAGATCGATTTACCACCAACAAGATGCTCAAGGATCACATCTCTACCAACACAAACACAAAAACATCTTCCCTCCATGTTCTTTTTATTCTTTGGGAAGATGAAGGTCTTTGTTGTGTGTGGTTGTGATGCAGAGAGCTGAAGACAGAGCGTCCTCTGGTTGAGACCTCATTAATGATACAGATAGCTCACTGATACACACTGCCGTTTGTCCCCACAGTGGAACGATGGGCAGCAAGAGACAGACGGGGGTCAAATTTTGTCTTCCTGACAGAAAAAAGTCAGCCAGTATTCACTGCTTCATTTCGGACTTTATTCTCCCAGAGCTTGGTGTTAACAGGCCTTGTGCCAAACCAGTGACCTGAACCTCGCTCACTCCTCCACCTCGACACACAGCGGCGTTGCAGACAATTTTCTTTCTGGCTACTGCTCCATCAAACACCAATCATATTCTGAAACATTACTGCATAGAGGTTTAACCCTATCCTGTCTGCATTATGCTCTAAGTGATAATCTCTCCACAGGAAATCTAGTGGAGAAGAAGGAGGTGGATGAAGAAGTAGGAATAGGTGTGTGCGTGGGAGGTGCTTAGGTAAGAATAGGATGAGCTTGAAGTTTGGTAGGTAGGCCTTTGGCAGGCGCATATTATTATCCATTACAGTTTCTCTTGGTTTTAATACTGCCTGCTTCATTTTTTAAATATGGAATTAAGGCTGCTCCTGTAGTGGAGGGGTGTGTGGAGGTAGTTTGGCTGTGGTCACCTTCAGGTTGGATTAGCGATATATTTTGGTTGCAGTAATTATTGCTTTTACCTTTTGTAGTTTGTCACGGTTTGAATGTCATCTCTCTCTTCTGGCTCTTTTTAGTTGGACCAGTATATAACAGTTCATTTTTTATGAATTTTGAACTGTGTTTATTCACAACTAGATGTAGCCATGTGCTTTGTCTATTTCATTTCCAGCCAATCAAGATACATATGTATTATACAATCATACAATTTTAAGATACTCCTGCTCACCATTCAGAAATTAGTATTTTCTGTGTTATGAGAAATTTACAGTTCAACACAAAGTTATTTGTTCAGCCATGTGATTTGACATTGAGCACAAACAAGTCTCCAATAATATATCAAAGCCAATAAACCTAATACTAAAATCATATTCTCGTCTAACTATTTAAAATATTCAAATATGCTTTTCATTCTTTGGCAAGATGAAGACCTTTGTTGTGTGTGGTTGTGATGCAGAGAGCTGAAGACAGAGCATCCTCTGGTTGAGACCTCATTAATGATACAGATAGCTCACTGATACACACTGCTGTTTGTCCCCACAGTGGAACGATGGGCAGCAAGAGGCAGACGGGGGTCAAATTTTGTCTTCCTGACAAAAAAAAGTCAGCCAGTATTCACTGCTTCATTTCAGACTTTATTCTCCCAGAGCTTGGTGTTAACAGGCCTCATGTCTTTCACCTCAGTTGTGCTCAGACCACACTGTGCTGTCTCTTCCTGTCTTCCTGATGTGAACCTCGCTCACTCCTCCACTGCGACACACAGCGGCGCTGCAGACAATGTTCTTTCTGGCTACTGCTCCATCAAACACCAATCATATTCTTTAGACAAAATGGAAGAGATAGACTTTGGCTGAGAAGGATGGAGGGATATTGGGGAACAGAGAGAAGTATTAAACTGCAGCACTAGGAAAGTGATTGTGCATCTTCAATGAATATAGAATCACAAAAGCATGAGCTGCAGTTCAATAAGCTTCTTGCATCTGTCTGCTGGCAGCATAGACAACATGAGTCTCCTCAGGCCTTCTTCTTCTTATTGTTGTTGAATACAAACTCAGGGCTGCATCCTCCAGCTCATCAGAGTCCAGATTCTGTAAATAAAAGTATCTACAGTCACACATCTGACACAGCTGACAAAACATAAAACAATAAGATTTGGCCTTAATTTAAACTTAAACTTAATTCTGTTTTAAATTCAGATTCACCTCACTGCACTGCCAATTCTGTTCTTCATTACCAGCTGAAAGAGAGAAACAATACATCATGTTTCACAAACATTGTCGTAAATGCAATTTGCTAAACAGGACATTTTCTATTTGTTCTTCTTATTGAGAGAACTCCATCAAACTACGTATACGACAGCTTTCATCAAGTACCTGTCTGAAGTTTGCTGATTTGGACAACCACAACAGGGATAACTATGATGAGGACAGTCACAGCAGCCAGGATCGCAGTCATCATAAGCTCTGTTTTTACACCCAACACTATATAACAAGAGAGATGATTATATGAACCTTTTTGTATATTATACCTCTTTAGAGTTGAGATCAATCCTTAAGAGAGAAAATACAGACAAGACTTTAGAACAATCTTACCTTGAACCTTCAAAGATGTTGCACTGAAAATAACTGAGTTTCCATCTGACTGAAATCCACAGAAATACAGTCCAGAGTCAGATAAATCCACTGGTTTGATATTGAGGAAGAGGGTAGTGGTGTTGGATGTCATATTAAATTTGCCATTTTGAAATCCATCAAAGAATGTAGCATTGGTATCAGGGTTGAACATAGAGGAAATGCGGCTGGCGTTGGCTCTGTTGGCCAGTTTGAACCAGGACATGTGAACGGGAAGACTGCTGAAGTTGGAGCACAGCAGTGTGACCTCTTCCCCAGGCTGAACCTCCACAGTGTGAAACTCAGAAACAGAGACAGAGAACCAGCCTGAAACACAAAACAAGCAATATATTAATTCATAAACTATTATATTGTAACAAAGAATTTGTGAGTTTGCTGTTCAGTCCCTTCATTAAAGAGACACTAGCATTATTAAAGTCTGTAGACATACTCACAGAATAACGCCGTTATCAAGGTGAGGTTCATCATGATGTGTACAGCAGGACTGCAGCTCTGATCTGTGCTCCACTAAGAGTGGGCTCACTGTAATAAGGTGGGTGTTGCTTTCGTCACTCCGGCTGCTAAAACTAACAACATCAACGCTTTCAGAAAAAAGGGCGTCACAGCCACAAGCAGAATGAGACAACGTTAACACTGAAAATCAGATAGATAACATAAAATAAGCTTTTATTTATCTCCAGAGGGGAAATTCAGGTGTTGCAGCAGCACAAGGACAGAAATAAGTAGAGAGAAATACAGAAAAAAATTAGAAGGAAACTATATCAAATATAATAATATAAAATAAAATAAAATAAAATAGAAACTTAAAAGAAAAACCAATAACTACAGCTTTCCAATAAATTACTACATGTATAAAAGCATAATCTTTTTAATGTTCTTCATAATAAATAATGCCTATATCAGGATACCTCATGCATTATTACTCATATAAACATAAACACTTCCAACTGAAAGCTGATTTATTTACTGCTGTCGATACATCACTGCACACTGCTGTCAGCAATAATTGACGGTCATTGACATGAAAGGGATAAAACATGTGTCATCATATAAGAAAATAACTTTGTTTTCTGCTCAGGTGTTGTTTAGTGTATTATTGTGTTTATGACCACTTACAAAAGGCTCAAAACAAGCTGTGTTTAAATAATAAATTATTTTAAAACTTTTTTTTTTTTTTAAATTTTTTTTTTTAAAAAAAAAATTATTTAATTTTTTTTTTCTTTTTTTTTTTTAATTTTTTTATAATAAAAATTTTTTTTTTTTAATTATATTATTTTTAAACTAAAACCTTAAAATTAAAATAATAATTTAAAAAAAAAAAAAAAAAAAAAAAAAAAAAGATGAAATCAAGAAGGCCTTGCGATCCCCCATGAAGCTTTGGTGACCCATAACGGGGGTCCCGACCCCCAGGTTGGGAACCACAGATGCAATGCATGCAAGTTATAAGATATCCTTTGGTTTCACACTGTTACACTAATCTACAGGGACACAAACCATTAACAGTGGTGCACAGTTTCATTAAAGCACCTGAAAGCAGGTCCAGCAGTTCCAGCCCAACCTGCTCCACCCACAGACAGTCATACATAGTAAGTTCAATATGTGATTCTCTCGACAGAAATAAGTAAACAGTAGGCTCAGTTGTCCAATGGTAAAGTGCCTGAAAAAGCTCAATGATAGCCTGGCTCATACATATCATGGACTGAAGGTGTGAATAGATCATTTTCTCAGCTGCCGTTTCCAAATTAAAGAATGAACTTTGAGCCTCAGCTAACATTTGGTGTTTTGCAGCCACAAGTTGTATTTGTAGAGATCATTATGATACAAAGATGCTCCATTTACTTCTTTCAGAATAACTGGTGAATAGCAAGTGGGAGTTAGGCTCACTTATCTCAAAAACACTCACATAAAGAAAATAGTATTCACTGCCTGCAAAGCTTTGTACAACATCAGCATGATCACATCTTGTCTTGGATAAAAGCGTATTTATTCCCTTGGAGAAATATTTACCAGCTAAATGAGTCCTAACTGCTTTGTTTGGATCTGTGCTACAGCATGGTGTCTTCAAGGTTGAGATCAAAACTGAATACATTAACAGATGTATTTTTATTTGCTTGCTGTGGTCAAGACTTCTCTTTAGGCTGATACATACAGTACTGTTTTCTTAGCACACATGCAATGTCATTTAAAAAACAACAACCAGGGTGTAAAACTGGATGGCTGCTGTAAATATATCTACTTTATGTATTGATGTACCATAATAATGTGTTCAAAAGGGGGATAAGAATGAAAACTCAGCACTAATCAGAAGCTTGCTCTCATAGCAGAATAAATAACTTTCGGTTCCACTTCTAAAGTAACTGAGGTCATCAGGGCCCAGATTCTGTAGAAGAGAGCATTCACAGTCAGAAGCTGAACTTTAGAGAAAAAACATTGACTAGACATCATTTTAAATGATAAACGAAATAACAGTAAATAATAAAACTTGTTTAAGCTTGTGATGTTGTGGTTTCTGTTCTTCAATGGCAGCTAAATGACAATATGTTTAATCAGATAAATGGAGCGAAGCCTGCTCAGGCAGTCAACAGCTGTGCTGATATACACACATGACATGCCTCACTCCATAATCACTAACCAAGCGCTCCCTTCCAATCTGGCGGTCTATTTAAACTGCACAATTTCCCAGCTCTCCCTCTGCTCTGTCAATGCCACTGTTGCCCTGCATCTGTATTGCTGCTGCTGCTCTGTAAGTCCCACCACCAACCCAGCATCCAACTGGAGGCTCCAGCTAGGGGTTAAGGTATTTGTGCATCACTCCCCAATATCTCTATGTAAACATATCTGCAGGGAGTGATGAGGTCGGAGCCTGGACGCCAAAATCCAACTATGCTGTACTGCTTTAATAAACATTTCAAATGTGAGTTGTCTGACTGAACTGACATTTTTTCATCCTAAATCTTTGCTGTTGTTCTTAGGTCAACTCTGTTTTTTTCCAACATATTTCCACAACCGTAAAAACCCAGTGAACCAAATGTAAGACAGAGACAGTATCGTTCAAACAGTACCTGTCTGAAGTTTCTGGTTTTTGACAACCAGGTCGATGACAGCCATGAGGAGGACAAAAGCCAGACTGCCCAGGATCAGAACCAACAGCTTTGCTGTTCCGTCAGACTCTTTGAAAAGAAAGATAATATAGTTATATTATATTTAGCCTTTCCTGGCTTTAGAACTGCTAACATTAAACTGCCAAAACTTAAGTTAGCCACACAGTATTCATATTATATTAAAATGACGAGCAGTGAGTCTGCATGATGAAAGAAATCTTAAAGAGAATCTTACTTTCAGACTTTCTGTCAACGTCATCATGAGATTCATCACTGCCTTTTAAAAAATATACATAAAGATACATTTACTTTTGATTTTAATTTAATATTTGTATCACTTATTTTGACAAAGATTAAATAGCCACATATTGTATTTAAGGGCAACTACTACATTTCAAATATAGAAAGACATAACAGAAAAATAAATGCCACAGGATTTTATAACAATCTTACCATTAACATACAGATGTACCACACCAAAAATCAGCTCTCCTCTTTTGTAAGCTCCACAGAAATACAATCCAGAATCAGACAAATCCACTTGTTTGATTTCCAGAAAGAGGGTAGGGATGTTGAATCTCATATTAAATTTGTCCTTTTGAAACCCATCACAGAATAAAGCATCACTCTTATAAGCTAACAGTGCGGAGATACAGCTTACTGTGGTCCTGTTCATCATTCTGAACCAGAATGTATAAGAGTCAGATTCAAATTTGCTGGGACACTGCAGTGTGACTGGGTCACCAGGCTGAGCCTCCACAGTCTGAGACTCAGAACCTGAGACAGAGATCCAGCCTGAAACACACAGCAGAGACAAGATGAGATTCACTTGTTATAGGACGGTAAACATAAACGTTCCACTTCCAGCTTAAATATGATAATAAGCAAATAATAATGACGTTTTGTATTGGCAGTTACTTACTGATGCTGCAGATAATTAAAGCTGTTGTCAAGGTGAAGTTCATCATAGTGTGTATGACTGCTGCTCTGCAATGTCTCTCATTAAACTGTGCTCCAGGAAGGCTGTTCTCAACTTAAGAGGCAGGGCGTGTCAACACCAAATGACCGCCTGAAGAGATAAGATAAGTTATTCTTTCATATTAAGTTACCAAAGTAATGTTCAAACCAAAATGAAAAGATCATCATACATCAGATACATCACCTATTATACTAAATAATATTCACACAGCCTTGGTTAAGCAGGAGCATTACAATGACTGTAGCACACAGTTGA